AATTAGCAGCCATGCGAACTTGATAAAAACCGGATGCTAAATCTAAACTGGTGAAATACTTAAATCCTCCTAATTTGTCGATTTGGTCTTCGATATGTGGCAATACACCACGGTTTTTAATGGTTACTGCATTGAGATGTCTAAAATCAACGCACATTCTATAGCCTCCATCCTTTTTTTTAACAAGTGTAATCGGGCTGGAGTACGGAGAATTGGATTCGCGGATGACTTCATTATCCAAAAGTTCTTGAATCATATTTCGGAGAATACCCCTTTCAACCTCAGGCATACGATAAGGATAACGTACAACCGGTGTGTCGACTATACATTTTATCTCCATCTCTACCGTATTCGTATTTCCTAAATTTTCCATGGAAGATGAAATGCAATCCGAAAAACTATGCAATAAGGAAATACATTTTACTTTATCAGCCTCTGAAATAGGGCCCAAATTTACACTATTTAAATCCATAGTGTCATAAACCTCAACCAAACTCACAGACACACTTGTAATGGGGAATAAGCTGTATAAAACTAATCGATCGTCACGTTTAATCATGATTACATGTTCTTGGTTAATAAAATCCCGACCAACTAATAAATCATATTTAAGGTATTTGTCCGGAAGAATTATGGCACTTACTTGTGCCGAAACCCCTTGTATAGTAGCGGTTATTTTACAAAGGGACCTACTATCTAAAGAAGTGCCCATAAAACTACACAAAGTCATACTCTCCGAATCAATACGTTGCAATCCAAATCTCTTAACGAGGGACTCCTTTATTAGCGTATTTGAACTGCCCGAATCTATTAAACATTTTATTTTTTTGCCAAAAATTCGGGCGGGCTGTAAGAATATATTAGGAAACTTTTCCTTTGCTAACAGATTAACGTGCTGTATTTCCTTTTGTAAAAAGGGACACTTTTCTTTAGTGTGACCTAGTTTTTTGCAATTATTACATTCAAGACGTGGTTTTTTGCAGTTAACTGAAATGTGACCCGGAATACCACAATTGTAACACGTTGGGCGGGACTCAGATTTTCTAGAAAATTCTTTATTATTCGAATTTCCTCGATTGAAGCCAGTCCAAGGCAGACGTTTGAATTTAGTATTATTCTGACGAAAACTACAAATTTCCGTAGGCATGTTACCCACGGTGTTTAGATACGCATAAAGTGCATTGGCATTCTCATGCTGTGCGGCTCTAACAGTTCGCGATATATTATCGTCTTTAATACCGCCGATTACTGCGTCAATCAAATAAACGTCAGGTATATTTATGTTAAGTGCCCTTAATTTAGACATTTTTTTAAAACAATAATCTCCTAGGTTTTGTCCCGGCTTAGTTTCGTAATTAGCAGCGTCCTTTAGTAACTTGGAAAATGGAACAGACTTACGGAAATAGAGGCTCATTGATGTTTTAATTTCAATCCAGCTTGAGTCATACTCCACGTTCTCGTCGTACCATTGACGAGCATTACCTCGTAATCGTCCGGAAATTATTCGAAGAATAGTATCATCGTCCCACTGATAACGTTCTGCCAAACTATCCACTTTACTCAACCAATTATCCACCATCACGTCATCCCGACTTGGGTCAAATTTTGGCACTAAAAGTTCGTCTCCCGCGCGAAAGACCGGCTTACGCCTTTTTAAATCATTTAATTCTTTTCTCAAACGTTTTATTGTCCGTTTTCTCCTCGAGCTATTATCGGAAGAGCTATAACTCGAATTCGAACTGTCACTATCACTTCCCGAAGACGAGGATGAACGTTCTTTCCGTTTATTACGCTTTTCACTTGTAACTGTTTTCGATTTAAATCTTCCCATGACGTACAATAATTTTAACTTGTCCGAGAAGAGAAAAAAAAAAACGATTGTAAGTGATTTTAGTAAAATCCCACCGCTGCTTTGTAAGGATCATCAAAAATAAAACCACGTAATGAAGCAGAATCGAGTTTAATCCTCTCCGTTCGACAACTACGTCTTCACTAACTCATCGTAAACCCCCAAAAACATCGCATAATAATACCCTAATTATCTCCTCACCGCAGCTTGCCCACCCTGTCCTTTTTGCCTGAGACGCCGATACATTTTACGATCGGCAAAAAAAAACAAGGCGGCGCCTCTTTGTTACGGGGTCTTGTCGGATATGACGTAATAATATAAATATTCCAACACAAAGGATGAAAAAAGGAAGAACAACGTCCTTCTGGCGTAAATAATGCAAAAATCCACATTATAATCCGTATCAAGCCTGGAAATTCTTTTTACAGCGTTCCTTGTTATACGTTGTATTGTAATGTAAATAATGCATAAATCCATGTCACGGCCTCCATTAATTAATTAATAAAAAAGAGAGAACGCATTTTTAAAGTTTAAATAACGCAAAATTCCGAATTACGATCTGTAACACGCAGGAATTTCCTTTTAGGGCGTTCCTTAGTGCGCGTTGTGTTGTAAAAAAAAAGAGAACATCGTGCTTGTTGCGTAAATATGGCGAAAATCAAAATTACGGCGCGAACTTGTTTTTTGGGGTGTGGCTCGCCCTACGTTGTACCGTAAAAAGGGCGAACAACGTCCTTGTCGTGTAAATGATGCAGAAATGAGCGGATTGGTGTGGTAACGGGCCGTCGCGCGTAATAACAATGTTTTCGTGTTACGAGTTGGAAAATCTTATCTTGTTTGTCTGGACTCGGGGGTCCTTATCTGCCGCCTTATCGGCTTGGCCTTAATTTTATAAAAAAAAATTTTTTCGATGCCTTTGTTTCGCGGCCTCGATTTTTCTCGTACCGGAAAACGGAGAAAAATCGAATATTTTCGAATCACAACGTTTATTTATACTTTTGTAACTAATAAAAAGCGCGAGAGGCACGCTGGCCGGGCGTGACGCGCTTTAATTTTAAAACGCGGCGTTGCCGTGTCGCGCCGCTCTTCCCCGCCGGCGGGGAAACGATCGTTTCCATTCAATCCGACGGGTTGAGACAGCGTTGCTAATGCTGCACATAGTCGTGGTTTTCTACTCCATATATTTGATTATGTATGTGTATAGTTTTTTGCAAAAAATTAAAAAGGTATTTCTATTGTATCGTTGAAAATAAAATAAAAGTCGATTTTCTTCCGAAAATCAACTTTTATTTTATTTTCAACGTTGTTGACTGAGTGATCCTCACCCGGCTTACGCGGTTGCCGTGGCAACCATTCATGTTTACGCATCGGGCGCCGCCTATATTTGCATCGCAACAAAGGCAATATTACGAACGACCGACGCGGCAACGCCGCTATTACGCAACGATCGCGACCTCGGACGCTATCGCGCGACGTTCTTGTTATTGGACCCGCGAATTTGGCGAAAAAACGAATAAACGCGGGCGGCAAGCGATCGGCTCGAAATTCGGGACGTTTTCGCGTCATTCTAAAGGTTTCCGGGACACCGGGGGAAAACCTTCGTCGGGTTTTGGTATGCAACTCACTAGACGTCGATATAAAACAAAAACTTAAACGATGGAAGTTGTTTGGATTCACTTTATTGGTTTTTAAAACATCAATACGCACTAAAATAGATTTCAAATTACGTCAGAGACGGTGCGATTTATGACGCTACGCATGTTTCTTTGGTCTGTGATTTTTTTTTTGGTTGCTTTTAAACCGCACCTCGTCGGTACGCAACCAACGGGACGTCGAAAGCGCGACGCGTTTTGGCTCGTGCGTCGGTTTTTGTTGTTGCCAAATCAAACGGGCGCGAAACACAGAAAACAAGTTTGGAATTTAGAATGATTATGCTAAGTATATAAAAAGAACCGAGGATCATGTGCGAAATAACGATTCAAGCACGGCGAGATTTTTGTCAGGGTGCAGATGTCTCGAATCTTCCTCGCTTCCTACGAAAAATTTGACCTTTCCTTTATACGCAACCTTGTGCGCTTGCGAATATTTCAAAAAGGGATTTTCCCGTACATTGAAAACTGCTCTTGGAAAGCTTCCGGGTGTTTCAACGAACCATCTCGATGATGGACAGCAGCGTATGTGGGTTTGCTCGGGAGACCAATATGGAGCAGTCCATTATAGATTACTTTTCCTATGATTCCAATTCTGTATTCTATGCGCTTACAAGCCTTTAGGCTTTTCATTTTTGCAAAGCATATACAGCAGTCCATTATAGGTTACCTTTCCTATCATTCAAATTCTGTGCGCTTAAAGGCCTTCTAGACCCATCGATCTGTATTAGTTGTCTGTGTCTAAACGCAGCCACCTGGAATTGATGCCGAAATTATCGCGACGATCCGACCTGTAGAAATGACGTCTGTTAGTTTCAACTTGGATATGACTTAGCGCAATCATAAAATTTATTTCGTTGAAACAACAGTCACGACGGAACGGGAAGATGTCAATTGTCAAAAAATTCGCGGAACACAAAAACGAATGATTATCAAACACCACGGACCGTATGCTGCAAAATCCACGTCCTCCCGGCGTTGTTTCGGCGGTGAATCACTATGAAGAACGATTTTAACGTTTTAAAAAAAAAATGATGGTTTATATAAATCCAGAAGTTCGCGGAATACATCCGGACGAGCATTTCCTAGCGGCTTTTGCGTAAACATAACAAAAATTGGTCTCTACGGTACCGTTAGATGGCGCCACAAACGCGAAATTCTAATGGAGACATATCTGATATCTTGTTTTGTTTTTTGCTGGGATGGACTTGTAGTAAACTAATAGTAATTTTGCGCCGTCCCGTAATAGGATACCGCCCGTTGCTTAGTCTGTGTTTTAAGTAAATAACGCTATACGGGCGAGACGTGGAGCGACGGGCGCGGGTAAAAGTGCAACGACGGCAACCGCAATAACAACAACAACAACAAATTAGCCCGGATATTTATGCGTATTACAAACGACGGAGGCGGCGCCGCCGGTTTTTTTTTTGTTTCGTTCTGCGGCGGGGACGCGGCAACGTCGCCCCGGCCGCCTTCTAACTCGCTTTTCCGCGCTGTTGCAGACGCACACGCTCTTCGGGGACGCGTTCCTACAGAACAACAGGCTCGACCATGTCAGCCAGGTGATGGGCTACCATCCCTCCTACCTGGAGCACTTTCTCAGGACGCAGAACTTCATCCTGAGGGGCGACGGGCCCTTACCCTTCGATTACCGCCATTACATCGCCATTATGGTGAGTTTACGATTTTCTACTGAGTTAGTGTGTGCTGCTACGGGCCTCGACCATATACAGGGCGATTTACACCGGATTACCTTGCGTATGGCGGCCGGAAGCGAGGACGATCCGTCGATCAGATATACATACGAAGCGACGCGACGTTGCCGCTTCTTTCGAAAAGAAGCAGTTGTCGAGAAATTCGTTACTTTATGTTAAAAATATGGCTCCAAGTATGATAAAAATAATAATATTTCAAACTACAAATTGTTCATGATAGAGCAAGCCTGAAATATCAACGTTAATGGCGCAACAACACACAACATAACCAAGTGTCCATGGTCACCTATATTCGTAATTTTTTCGCAGTCCTAAATCTAAAATCAGAAGGAAACAAAGAAATCTAAATGCGTTCCCAAGAAAATTATGACACACCTCCACAAACGCTACCCAAGCTCTTTTCTCTGCTTTGCTCAACTTCGAATCAAAAACGTCATCCTTCATGAGCTCACGTATCTGCGGACCTACAAAAATTCCTTCCTTCAATTTCGCGTCACTGATTCGAGGAAATTTTGTTTTTAAGTATTGAAAACCTGCACCATCTTTATTCATAGCTTTCACAAAGTTTTGGTTATGCAGAAATAACAATCATTCTGATGATTTTGAGGCTCACTCCAAATCATTGGGCATTGAAAACGGCATGGATTTGTGACTTTCTTCAAGCCAACCTCTCAACGTTCTCGAGCAGCTATTGCAGCATACTTTTGGCGACCAACTTTTATCTCGCTCATCGATAGAAAATCCAAAATATAGCTTATAAGCGGTTTTAACCAGATCGGTCATGACATGTCGCTGTGTTTTTAGTACGTATTCCCCACAAACCTAGCAAAAACAATCTGAGGAATTTTTACGTGACATTTTGTAATTTTAAAACAACTTTCAAACTTCTATTTTATCTAAAATATTTGATATAAACGGTAAACAATTAAACGACATGCATGCGCATAAATTCTTCTACTGTAGTATCTACCCACATTTTGACAACCTCTTCTATGCTATTTTATGTCTAGCGTAGTTATTTGTTTGTTCCACTATTCCACTAAAAGAGCTTGAAAAAGTCACCAGGTATATTTTCACCGCTGCTTGAACTTGATGGTAAAGGTTTGGTTCTCCGTCTTTTAGTAACTCTAATATCACCACCACTACTAGAGTCACTAATATTATCACTATCAGGGGTGTCAATATAAAATTCAGTTTCAGTTTCGTCTTGTAAAAAATTCTGGCACATTTCAAATTTTTTTTTTCGAAATATACACCGAACTTTACCCAATCGCGAGAGTTATAAAATTGAGCAAAAGGGGCACACTTAGTGAATACGGCGAGCATGGCGAGCAAGCGAAAAATTTTATCTCTAGATGATAAAGTTACTTTAATTTGGGAGATAGAACGGGAAGATAGGAAAAGTGATACGGACTTACACCGTCGACTGTAGCCACGACTTGGAAGTGCAAAGAAAAAATCATTCAGGCTGAAGCGGCAGGCGGTTCTAGTAAAAACCTAAGAAAAGTACCCTGCTGACGACATTTTTAATGCTGAAGAAACCGGCATTTTTTACAAAATGACGCCAGATAAAACTCTTCAATTTGTTTCAAACAACAATTACGTCTCCAAGTGAGGAATTGCAAGATTTTATGGTGATAGATCAGGATTTGCCTACAACAGCAGACTTGACAGAGGAAGCCATATTACAACAAGCAAGCAAGAGTGAGGAAGAGCACCAAGAGGAAAAAAAAGATGACGAAGTTGATCTGGGACCATTCAACAAGCCCTGTGCTCAGTTAACCTGCTAGAGAAATTATTTATGTATCACGGGGAAGACATGGTGAAAATACAAACCAAAGTACGAGATGACCGAATGACAGATTATTTCAAACATTAAATGTAATTCGTAAATATTTATGTAAAATGTTCCTAAGTATATGTTAAAAAATACGTTACGTTTACACTCCTGGGCTAGCACGTAGCAAATGATCGAAAAAACAGCCCGCAAAAAAGATATTAGGCCAATTAGTTGTGTTAGATCGACGCACCGTGCCGTGAGCTCGTCGGAGGCGGCGTTGCCGCTTCCGCGTATTTTTCCCGATCGACTGGGATTGTTTTTTTCAGGCGGCCGGTCGACACCGGTGCAGCTACCTGATCGCCTTGCAGAAGCAGGAGTTCCTGCTGCAGGGCGGCGACCAGAACTGGCTCAGGGGCCTCAAGTGTATCCCGCAGAAGCTGCGCAACCTCTACGACATCAACAAGATCCTCGCGCACAGGCCGTGGCTGCTAAAGACCGCCCACATCGAGAAGCTGACCAAAGGCGGCAAGGACAGCTGGTCCCTCGCGGAGGTGGTCCAGGCGATCGTCATCCTCACCCACTTCCACTCCCTCTGCTGCTTCGTCTTCTCCTGCGGCGTCAACCAGGAACTGGACCAGGCGGGCGGCTACGAGTACCCGTGCCAGTCGTCGCCGTCGTCGAGTCCGCGTCGTAACCCCGTCGGCGACGTCGTCCATGGCGCGGAAGACTGGAAAGACGGGGGCGCGAACGCTGGGCCCCCGTCGCCGACGGAACCCGAGGTGGGGATCACCACGCTTATGCAACGCATGAAGATGCTGTCGGAGCAGATGGAGGAGTGCACCCCCGTGGAACTCGCGAAGCGGTTCGAAAGTATAGAGACGCAGAGCGCCGAGTTGGGCGTGATCGGGCCCGAGCCCCAGGACACGCCCGCCGACGTCGGTTACTTCGTCGACGACGCGTCGTTCAAGTATCAGGACTTCGCGAAGAGGGCGGAGACCGACATCCACACGTTCCGCGTGCAGGACTACTCGTGGGACGACCACGGCTACTCGCTAGTCAACAGGTGCGAGTGATTTTACTTAATATAATTGTTACAATTGCCCCGAAATTATTAACGCTATTATGTCAAACTTTTACCGCTGGTGTTGATTGTGTACCTGCTAGAATGCTTCAGATGACCCTCCATATTATCGCGCCATACGTTACACATCTCATCAATTCCTGTTTGATGATACCATCGGCAAAAAATAACGATATATAGCTTTCAATTTAAACACTTAAGAGGTTAAGTTGAGTAGCTTTTGCTAGACTTCGCCTCTTCTCTACTGTATTTTTGTATATAACAACATACAAGATTAAAGGCAATTTATTATTGTTATTATTGTTCAAAATAAAAAAGAACTAAAAGCTCGATCACATTTGATAAAGATACGGTGTTGTCGAAACAATTAGTTCTTATTTATTTTGGTAAATGGATTTTCATCAAGTAAAAGCCACCTCAGTTCAATTATTATTATTATATAAATTGTCGCTGACGTGGCGAGTGTACAAACGGGGTTCCCTCCGCAGGCTGTACAACGAGGTCGGCACCCTGCTCGACGTCAAGTTCAAGACCGCGTACAACCTGACGTATTACACTATGGGCGGGAGGACGGACGTGGACACGTCCCGCTTCCGGAGGGCCATCTGGAACTACATCCAGGCGCTGCTCGGTATCCGTCACGACGACTACGACTACGCGGAGATCAACGCGCTCGTCGAAAAGTCGCTCAAAACGTTCATCAAGAGCGCGTGCTGCTACCCGGAACGCGTCACCAAGAAGGACTACGACCGCGTACTCAAGGAGTTCAAGCACAGCGAGAAGGTAAATATTTTGCGAGTGTAACTTAACGCAGCGCGGCGCCGGGAAGAGTGGCGATCGCAACTTCTCGCTGCGCGAGTGTACATTCGTTACGGGACTCGCTGTCGCGATTTTTTGAGAGTGTACATTCGTTGCGCGAGTCGCCATCGCGATATAGCGAGCGTGTATTCGTCTGTGAAAGACGGTCTCCCTTTCGGACGTGTAGCTATCTCGATTTTGCTAGTGTATTTTTTCGAAGAGCGAGTATGTTTACTTTTATGCACGACAATATTCCGATCGAAGCCAGTAGCTATCGCGACTTTGAGAGTGTAACTTCTCCCTCAGCGGGTGTACATTCGTTTCGAGAATCGCTATCGCGATATAGCTAGGGTTCATTTGTTTATGGAAGACAATGTTCCGTTTAAAGCGAATAGCTGTGGCGATTTTGCTAATGTAAGTTTTCGTGGAGCGAGTAAGTTGGCGCTCGGCGGGTTTACATCCGTTTCGAAAGTCGCTATCGCGATATAGCTAGGGTACATTCGTTTATGAAAGACAATGTTCCTTTCAAAGCGAATAGCTATCGCGATGTTGTAATGTAACTTTTCGTAGAGCGAGTGTACATTTCTTTTCAAAATTGCTATCGTGTTCATTCGTTTATGCAACGAGATGTTCCGCGAGTAGCTGTCGCGATTTTGAGAGTGTAACTTAACGCAGCAAACTGCGCGAGTGTACATTCGTTGTTGGACTCGCTGTTGCGATTTTTTGCGGGTGTAGATTCGTTTCTAGAGTCGCGATTTACCAAGCATGAATTCCTTTAAAGAAGAACATCTTCTCTTCAGAACTAGTGGCTATCTCGATTTTGCAAGTATAATTTTTCGCAGAGCGAGTGTAGTGTACATACGTGTCGCAGTTTGGCGGCGAGATCGCTATCTTGCGAGTATAACATTTGTGTACAATTGTTTCGAGAATCGCTACCGCGATATAGCTAGAGTTCATTCGTTTATGGTGTAACTTCGCTTAGGGATTTAAAGGTCGCAATATTGCGAGTGTACGGTAGAAAAAAACGTTGTTTTTCCTCTAGGTACACGTGAACCTGATGATACTGGAGTCGCGGATGCAGGCGGAGCTGATCTACGCGCTGCGCACCGTCAACACTTACATGACAAACTGAAGGGTTGGGATTGGCGGAGCCGGGGCGCCGCCCCGCGGAACTATTGTTGTTGTTGATGCTGTAATTTGTTTTTTTATATAAATATATTTTAAGGTACATATTTTTAACACAGGAACGATATGTGACCACACCCTGTACATATGCGTATATTGTAAGAGAGAACCCTATATATATTGTATACCCGTAACAGATTATTTTTATGTAAATAGTTTGAACGCGTCGGAGAAAACCGTTTGGGGGCGGGTATGTTTGAACTACCGCCAAACGTCGCGTCGCTGTGATATCGGCCCGGGGTGGGGAGGTGCGCGCGGGGGCGGGGGCGGTTCCCGTTTCCCGCCCTTTTCGCCGCTTACCCACGTCTTGTGATATTTATTGTTATATGCATACATATATATCGAGTCGTCTGAATGTGATTGCGTTGAGGGCGGGGGCGGACGCGATAGTTTGTGAATTGTCTTCGCCCGAACTTTCCGAACGAACTACGACGGAGAGACGATGAATTAAAGATGTTTTTTTTCCGAACGCATTTTATTTTTTCGCCCCGCCCATAAACTAACTCATTTTTATGGTTGTCTAATATTGAAACTTTGATACGTTTTTCCCATCCAAGCGGGATCTGAACATATTTTTAGAAAATAACGCATCAAAATTATAAACAGGAACAGAAACAGATCCGGGCAAATTAAAAAAATTAAAAAAAAAACTCTAACTCTTCCTGGGCTTAGTTTTTTGTTTTCCTGAAAATTTAACGACGTCCTGGTACATTCTGACGAAATACTTACGTAAAAATGCCGCGCCCAAGAACTGTCACCAGCCATGTTGGTTGGTCGCATCACAGACCACTAATGTGACTATCTCTGCTAATATTCTATTCTATGGGCGCATGGTTTTATGAGGCCTATTCAGCCGTGCACGACTGTTATAAATAATCACTAAACGTGATGAACTATTTGTTAACAGATGACATTTTGTTTACCTGTGTCATAGTCGGATTATTTTTTTTACATTTCCTCAGGTACTTCGCATGCATCCTGTTAGGGAAATCGACATATAGCAATATCTGAAGATATGTTTGTTGCAGATTATTTTAGGAGTCAATTTTATAGTAAACGCACGATTATTGTATTGCACGTTTTTCGCAAATGTACGTTTGTCGTCATTTTTTTTTTATTGAAGCCAGGGTTATCGGCGTTTTTACAAAGGCACGTTTTTTCGCAAGTAAGTTGGCATCAATCTTCTGGTGAAAGCGTGTTTGTCCCCAATTTTTTGGTGAAGGCCCGTTTATAGCATTTTTTTTTCAAGGAGGTCCTTTCGCAACTAAGTTAGTTTTGGTAAAATCGCCTTTGTCGCCATTTTTTTGGCGAAGGCACGTTTATCGTCCTGTTTTCATGCAAGGACGTTTTTCACAAATAGGTTAGCCTAAATCATTTGGGAAAATCACGTTTTTCGACAATTTTCTGGGGAAGGAACGTCGATCGTCGTTTTTACAAATGCACGTTTTTCGAAAATAGGTTGGCGTCGATCTTTTGGTAAAAATAAGTTTGTCGCTATTTTTTCCCTCGAAGGCACGCGTTCTGCAAATAAGTGAGTGTAAATATTTTAGGTAAAGGCACGTTTGTAGCTTCTTGTCATGGAGAGACGCGTTTCGCAAATGGGTTGACATCAATCTGGTGGTAAAAGTACGTATGTCGCAGTTTTTTTGGTGAAGGCACGTTTCTCGCTAATGGGTTAGCCCCGATCCGTTCGCGAAAGCACGTTTGATTCCGGCGAAGTAAAACGACGGTCCGTTCGTAATAAATTAACATTTAAATACGTCGCAATAAATACAATGCAAAATAAAATCGGAGTGGGGGGGGTGCAGTCTCGACGGCGGAATCACAGGCGTGGGGGGCGGGGCCGAGCCCGCGCCCGCCGTTACGTCTTCTCGATCCTCTCCTCCTCCTTCTTGACGTGTTTCTTCGCGTGCGCCATCATGGTGGAGCGCGAGACGAAGGTGCGGCCGCACGTGTCGCACGTGTACGGCCTCTCACCCGTGTGAAGACGCTTGTGGATCGCCATCGGGGTGAACTGGGTGAAACTCTGGCCGCACAGGTCGCAACTGTAGGGCCGTTCGCCGGTGTGGGAGCGTCGGTGGCAGCGGAGGGAGTCGCGACGAGCGAACGCCTTGCCGCAAATCTCGCACACGTACGATTTCTCGCCCGTGTGCATCGTCGAGTGGATTTTCAGGTCGACCCTGGTCAGGAAACCTTTGCCGCACACCTGAAACGAGGGTCGCGATTAACTAGCCCCTTGCCACGCCCTCTGCGACGTTCACCTCGCATATGAACGGCCGCTCGCCCGTGTGGATCTTCTGGTGCGTCTGCAGGTAGCTCTTCGACACGAACATCTTGTTGCACACCTTGCAGGAGTACTTGCGGTTGTCGACGCCCGAGTGGACCTTCTGGTGGGCCCGGCGCAAACCTGCAACGACGCATGCATGCTTTTTTTTTCACGAAAAATACGTTTGTCGACGTTTATTTGTGAAGTACACGTTTGTCGCAAACCATTCTTTTAATAGACACTTGTGTCTCAGGTTTTATATGAAAGGCACGTTTGTCGCAAAAACGTTGGAGGCACGTTTGTCGAAGAGACCATTGGCTCCGATTATATGTGAAAGGCGAGTTTGTCGCCTATCATTCTTCTAATAAACACACCTTTATCCCAGACACGTGTGATTCCGATTTTATACGAAAGGCGCGTTTGTCGCAAAAACGTTGGAGAAAATATCTAGCTAAAAGTACGTTTGTCGAAGACGCAATTGGCGCCGCCTATTTGTGAGAGCACATTAGTCGCAAATCCTTCTTTAATCTTTTACCGGACACTTGTGTCTTTGGTTTTATATGAAAGGCACGTTTATCGCAAAAACGTTGAAGCTGATATCTTAGTGAAGCACGTTTGTCGAAGGCACCATTGGCTCAGATTATTTCCTCGGAAATCATTCTTTTAATAACGGCACGTTCATCTCAGAGACTTATGTCTTTGGTTTTATATGAAAGGCGCGTTTGTGGCAAAAACGTTGGAGCAAATATCTTGGTAGAAGCACGTTTTTCGAAGATGCAATTGGTGTCGCTTATCTGTGAGAGCACGTTTGTCGCAAATCGTTTGTCGTTGTCTTTTTAATGTAGCAGACTATCTTTTAACATCTCCGACACTTCTGTCTACTTTTTTTTATAAGGTTTGTTGAATACACTTTCAACGTTTTTTTTAAATGAAAAACGGCATTTGTCGCGGGGCCATTTAGTAACAAATATTTTAATAAAACCGTTTGAGTGAATACTTTCGTGTCTAAATTAGAGCCAACGTTTTCGTACAGGCACGTTTGCCGCAGAACATTCTGGTGCCAATGTTTTACTCATCATTTAGGAGACAATATTTTCATAAAGACACGTTTGTCGCAAATAGTTCTTTTTTTTGTAAAATCATTTAAGAGATAATTTTTTAGTAAGCGCGAGTTTGTCGCAAATGCGTTTGTGGCATTTTTTGTTATGAAGGCGTGTTTATCGCAAACTTTCTGGTAAAAAGACACGTTTGTCGCAAATTTTTTGGTAAAGGACAGAGCGTAACAATAATTCACCCAGAAAATGGGATTTATACGATACAACCTGTCGCAATCGTAGATTGTGTGTAGCATTTTTGTCGCAGGTCATTTAAGGGCCAATCTTTTAATCAAGACACGTTTGTCTTAAATAGTTTTTTTTTTTGTAAAATCATTTAGGACATAATTTTTTAGTTTTGTCGCAAATATGTTTGTGCCATTTTTTGATATGAATGCACGTTTGTCGCAAACTTTTTGGTAAAAAGACACGTTTGTCGCAAATTTTTTGGTAAAGGACAGAGCGTAACAATAATTCACCCAGAAAATGGGATTTATATGATACAACCTGTCGCAATCGTAGATTGTGTGTAGCATTTTTGTCGCAGGTCATTTAAGGGCCAATCTTTTAATCAAGACACGTTTGTCTTAAATAGTTTTTTTTTTTGTAAAATCATTTAGGACATAATTTTTTAGTTTTGTCGCAAATATGTTTGTGCCATTTTTTGATATGAAGGCACGTTTGTCGCAAACTTTTTGGTAAAGACACGTTTGTCGCAAATTTTTTGGTAAAGGACAGAGCGTAACAATAATTCACCCAGAAAATGGGATTTATACGATACAACCTGTCGCAATCGTAGATTGTGTGTAGCATTTTTGTCGCAGGTCATTTAAGGGCCAATCTTTTAATCAAGACACGTTTGTCTTAAATAGTTTTTTTTTTGTAAAATCATTTAGGACATAATTTTTTAGTTTTGTCGCAAATATGTTTGTGCCATTTTTTGATATGAAGGCACGTTTGTCGCAAACTTTTTGGTAAAGACACGTTTGTCGCAAATTTTTTGGTAAAGGACAGAGCGTAACAATAATTCACGCACGTTTGTCTCACGCCATCCTTTAATGAAGACACGTTCGTTGCAAATAGTTTTTTTTTTCATTTAGGAGATAATTTTTTCGTAAGGGCAAGTTTATCGTAAACATGTTTGTGACATTTTTTTGATACGAAGGCACGTTTGTCGCAAATTTTTTGGTAAAGACACGTTTGTCGCAAACTTTTTGGTAAAGACACGTTTGTCGCAAATTTTTTGGTAAAGGACAGAGCGTAACAATAATTCACGCACGTTTGTCTCACGCCATCCTTTAATGACGACACGTTCGTTGCAAATAGTTTTTTTTTTTATTTAGGAGATAATTTTTTCGTAAAGGCAAGTTTATCGTAAACATGTTTGTGACATTTTTTTGATACGAAGGCACGCTTGTCGCAAATTTTTTGGTAAAGGATTTTTATCAAAAGCTTTGGCCGCATCGGCAAAATATATAAAGACGTCAGTTGCTGACTATAGTAAAAGCACGATTCTCGCAAATAAGTGAGTTAGTAGGAGAACACGTACCGTTCGTGATAAAACCGCGGCCGCAGACGTCGCAAACGTACGGTTTGACCCCCAGGTGGCGGTTGGTGTGGTCGAGCAGCGATTGCTTCGACTTGAAGTTCTGGCCGCAAGTGGTGCATGGATAGGGTTTGACGTCGGAGTGCACGCGCTGGTGCACCATCAGGTAACTCTTGCACTGGAAGCCCTTGCCGCACGTGGGACACGCGTACTCGTAGTTGCCCGTGTGTTTGGCCTCGTGCTGCGCCAGTCCGATCTTCGAGCGGAACGTCTTGTCGCACGAGCCGCACTTGAAGGGCTTCTCGCCGGTGTGTTTGCGCATGTGCTCTTGCAGCTTGTAGTTGGTCTTGCACACCTTGCCGCATTCGTCGCACACCTTCGCCGCGAGCTGACTATTTTGCTGCTGCTGCTGCTGCTGCTGCTGCTCTGGCGACGACCTCGACGCCGTCTCCTCCTCCTCCTCCTCGTCGTCGTCGCTGATGGAGCCGTCGTCGCTCGCCTCCCCGCCCGCACCCGTTTTGACAGCCTCTTGCGTCTCCGGCGGAGCCGGGGCCGACGACTCGCAAAACTTGGCGTAGGCGTCGTAACCGCCTCCGTCGTCGAGGTCGTTCCCCACCAGGTGGTACGCGTCGCCGTCGCTTACCAAATTCGGCCCGCTGCTGCTGCTGTCGTCCCGTTTGAGCGCCTCCTCCATCTGGCTGTCGCTCGAGTAGGACGCGATCCCGTTCATTGGCCCCAGACCGTCTTCGACTCGAAGTTGCCGCCCCATGTCGGACTGCAACAACCAAGAGCGTCGCTCACGGCCGGGCCCCTCCCCCCCCCGCCCCTGTCCGCGCCTTACCTCGCGGGCGAAACCGTCGCCGTCCCCGTCCATGGCGACGTGCAAATCGTCGTGGAGGCGAAAGTGCTCGTTGAGCAGCTGGTGCTGCACGAGCCCGAGGTTCTGTTCGTCGTCGTACCTATTGCGGAAAACATGTAGGCCGACCACACCAATTCCACAGTATCATATCAGATACATCTTGGGATTTTATGGATATCTTAGAATCTACTTTTTATGAAACTTCCGGTTTCCTCCTGCGTCGGTTTTTCTTGACTCGAACTTGCTGTCCTGTTGACTTCTGAAACTGGCTCCCATTTTACTTTGTACTTGCTTATGGGGGGCATAAACACGTTTCGGATGACTGATTCCCATATTGACAGGTAGAGACCTGAGTCGCGATTAAGATTGTTTGGTTGCTTATTTATTAATTTTAGTTGTATCGAATAAAATTTTATGTCCGGTACGGAGTAAAATGCGAGGCAGTTTCAGTCAAGCTGTGAAGAAACCAATAGGATGATTGGCGAAACGTTAGCTAGTTGGACTCAACAAAAACTGACGCAGGAGGAATCCAGAAGTTTTATAAAAAGTATTACTGTAGCCTGGGGACGTTTCTTTGAAAAACTAACAAGCTTATATTATTACGCGGTCTGTTAAAAATGAAATATTACACTGCTTCTCACAAAATTTATAAACTTAGAACAATAGATGCTAGACAGATTAAATACTCTGGGGTGATCAGCGAACGCTTAATCTTGGGCCCCATTCATATTTGTACCTCGCATCGTGGTTGCTCATGGCGAGGTCGTCCAACGGGTGCTGCAGGACGATCTCGTGGTGGCCGAGGCCGGCCATCTGCATGTCCGCCACGTTCGGGAGGCCCTCGGCGAGCAGCTCGTGGTGGGGCACGACGATAAGCCCGTGCTGGTCGACGGAGACGACGCAATGCTGCTCAGCGGGCACCACCTCCGTCACCGACTTGAACTGGCGACACAGCTCGACGAGGAGGCGCTCCGTGCGGACGCTCCGGTCCTTAAAGTCGGAAAACATCTCGAGCTTGTAGAGGCAGTCGCCGCACACCACTTTGGGCAGCTCGTCCTCACAATGGACCTGCAGCTGCAGGCACGTGTGGATCTTCCTGCTGAGCTGGCGGGCCGGCCCCTCGCCCTCGAAGATGTTAACTGAGAGCACGACCGCGGTCTTGGCCGCGCACAAGCGGCACAATTCGTCGAATTTCGTGTTCGCGTCCACCAGGGCGGCGGCAGCCATGTTACTGTTCGCTCGCGCCCCGAGGTACCTCTAGCATGCTCGCGGTACGCCCAAATTACGCTGGATACATCGCAGCACCGACACACGAAACGTTGAAAAACGACGCGATGTTTACTATCGTGCGAGCTGACAAATTTGGCAGATAAAGAACGTAGTTACCAGAGATCGGTTTTGGTTGGGACACAATGTTGTTCTCTCGGTCGATAAAGAGAAGAAGAAGAAAAGGCGCGACCTCTGCCTCTTTCATTCCACGCCTTGCCGACGGATCCACGTATTTAATTTACATACAGTTATGTTTATTAAATAAGTTTGTGGCCGACCGGGTTACCTTTCAACTTTTCGAAGCGCGACATCTAGCGGGCAAAGTTGCAACCGCGCAAAGCGGCGATGCAAGAATGACGAGACAGATAGAGCGCGAGTGTCTCTAAAGCGTTCCGATGGATTTTTGCGGAACACACGATTCGAAATTTTGCGACCGCTGCGCGGCAAATGTTTATCAAAACGGTCGCGTCGACGGTAGATCGACAACGCCTATCGTGTGTCGATGTGTTCGGAAACGGTGCAAGGCGTAACCGGCAGGTGGCGCTGCGAGTCTCCAGACCATGGCCACTTTTTGTTGTGGATAAAATATCACTCGATGTTTTACCAACTGATTTATTAATCAAACTGCAAACTTGACGGTATAAACAAGCGACGTCAAACAAGAAAAGAGAGAAGCGTCGTTACAATGATGGTCATGCGCCGAAACGTTTGTTTGTATCGCAACGGCGGCTCGAACGATGGCACTGACTGACGTCCTGAATGTTTCCAAAAATCGCGACGCGCCCGACGCCAAGTTTCCCGATATGGCGCGTCTTGCGACGCCCAAACCCGTGCTTCATTTGGGCTCGTCCACAGAGGTAATACTCGCTTCAACGCCCCGCGACCTATCTAAACCACCACTCCGAAGTTTCAAAGGCTCGGCTCCGCCGTACTGTCCTCGAAACCATCCACCGGCTACAGCAGGGCCGGCACCGGGTTCAAACCGACCACCAACTTCAAGAGACCGGGTACCGGCTTCAAACCGGGCACCGGGTTCCGGCCCGGTACCGGCGCCGACGCGTTCAGCAGGCCGATGACGGCCGTGAGAGGCGCGGGGTACACCTCGCAGGGGGGTAGCAAGCCGTTCGACCCCCTCAACGAGGGCGGGAAGGCGCCCACGCCTCCCCTCGAGCTGCAAAAGGACGACTCGTAACCTCGTTTTTGAAAAAGACTTCGATTTTATTTGAAAGGCGACTTTTCCAGGCCCGAGGGCAAAGTGAGGCAGCAGGAGGCGAAGATCATGAGCCTGGTTGAGGAGGCGTGCGTCGCGCAGTCCGAAGGGGACGTCAGGAAGGCCCTGACCAAAGCCAAGGAAGCGTCCAACAAGGAGCGCAGCCTCATACGGATGCAGGAGCAGTCCGGGTTGGGCGACCACCACAACGTCGACCTCACCTACGCGGTACTGTTCAACCTGGCCAACCAGTACGCATCTAACGAGCTTTATGCGGAGGCCCTCAACACTTACCAGATGATCACCAAGAACCGGATGTTCGCCAACGCGCACCGCCTCAAAGTCAACATGGGCAACATCTACTTCAAGCAGCGGCAGTACCAGATGGCCGTCAAGATGTATCGGATGGCGCTTGACCAAGTACCGGCCAGTCAGAGAAACTTGAGGTTCGACCCGGGTTTAAATTTTCAACAGTTTTAAAACAGACTTCAAATTTTAGACGCTTTAAATCAGTCTTGACATATTTAAAACCGGCTCTCAAATTTTCGCTTTTAAAACGAGCTTCAAAATTTTAAGAGCCACTCCAAATGTTCCACATTTTTTAAACATGCATAAAATTTTCGACGCTTTTCAAATCGGCTTCAAAAAATCCAAATTTCTGAACAGGCTTCAAATGTTAAAACTGACTTCAAATTTTGGAAGCTTATAAAACAGGCTTCATATTTTTAAAATCGGCTTTGACATTTCAAAACCGACCTCAAATTTTTGACGTTTTTAAAACCGGCTTCAATTTTTTAAAACCTTTTTCAAATTTTCGACGCTTTTAACACCCACTGCAAAATTCTTAAAACCGACTAAAAATTTTTTTAAAGCAAGTTAATTCAAATCTTTGAAGTTTTTAAACAGGTTTCAAGTGTTAAATAGGTTTCATATTTTTAATATGGGCTTTGACATTTCAAAACCGACTTCAGTAAAGAACTTCACAGAATTTAAACAACTGAGGTCAATTAGCATCCTTTCTACTCTTTCTAAAGTTTTAGAAAAAATAATCGGGTTAGCTTAGCATGTGCAATAGGCACCTACAATAAATGATTTAAGTCTTCTCGATTTAACAATATCAATCAAAACTTCTAAAAACCGGTATAAAAAGTATCTTTTTGGTACTTTATTATTATAAATTTTCGATGCTTTTAAAACGAGCTTCAAAATTTTAAAACCGACTTCAAATTCTCGACGTTTTTAAAACAGGCTTCAAATTAGTGCCGCTTTTAAAACAGGCTTCAAATTTCAAAAACTTGAATTTTTCGCTTTTAAACGAGCTTCTAAATTTTAATACCTGCGTCAAAAATTGAAAGGCTTAACATTTCTTAAAACAAGCTTAAAATTTTCAGGCTTTAAAAACTCAACATTTTTAAACAGGCTTGAAATGTTAAAACTGACACATTTTAGCAGCTTAAAAACAGGCTTCACATTCCTAAACTTGACTTTCACAACAGACTTCAAATTGTCGACGCTTTGAAACACTGTTCAGATTTAAAACCCGCAAAATTTCGAAAATCGACTTCAAAAATTTCAAAACTCGCATCGAATGCGCCGCTCCGCAGGATCAAGATAATACACAACATAGCTATGGTGTTTGTGCGGATGGGTCAGTGGGAGGAGGCGGTCAGCAACCTGGAGTACATCATGAGCGAGCAGGCGTGTCACGGGGCCGGTTTGCACCTGGTGGCGTGCTGCAGGGCGCTCGAGGACAAGGACCGCATGCGCACCGCGTTCTCGCTGCTGCTGGCCGTGCCGTCGGAGGCCGTCGACGAAGACAAGTACAACCTGGAGCAGGTGAGCGGCGCCCGATGCGCTTTGGAGGTGTCTTGACGAAGCGCTACGCGCAGGATAACCCGAACGATGCGCTACTGGCGCGAGCGATCCGCGACGACGAACTGCGAGCTTACGAGACTAGGAGGCGGGCGGAGGCGGACCGCTGCATCCTGGGGGCGGCCAAACTGATCGCCCCCTTCGTGGATGACGGTTTCAGCGCGGGTTACGACTGGTGCGCGCGAGCCATCAAGAACTCGGAGTACGCGCGTCTCGCGTCCGACCTGGAAATCGACAAGGCGGCCATGTTCCTGAAGCAGAACCAGGTGACGGCGGCCGTCGAGACGCTCAAGACGTTCGAGAAGGACACCGAGATGGACGTGAACGCGGCCTCCAATCTCTGCTTCATTTATTTCTTGGTAAAATTTAACCGGCTTCAAATTCCTTTAAAACCGGCTTCGGGCGCTTTCGAACCGGTCGCGCTCTCGCCGATCGATACCTAAGCCCTTTTAAAACGAATTTAAATCGGCTTCAAATATTTCTAAATTCCGCTTCAATTTAGCAAGGCGACTACGACGCGGCGGCCAAATACGCGGAGACGGTGGATCGGTGCGAGAGGCCGACGGCCGGCGCCTTCGTGAACCGCGGCGCCTGCTTCATGGCCAAGGGCGACCTCCGAAAGGCTACCGATTGCTTCGAGAGGGCGCTGGAGGCGGACCCGGGCCACTTCGAGGCCACCTACGACCTGGGACTGTGCCTGAAACGGCGCGGCCACTACGACGAGGCGCTGGCCTGCTTCCAGCGCTTTTCCGGCTCGCTGGCGCTACTCCCGGCCGTCGTCTACCACGTGGCCGACCTGCTGGAGTTGTTGGGCGACGCCGAAGCCGCCGCCGACACGTACCAGCAGCTGCTGGGGCTCGTGCCCGCCGACGCCAAGGTGTTGCAGAAGCTGGGGGAACTGTTCGACCGCGAGGGCGACAAGCAACAGGCGCACCACTACCACGCGGACGTACGTGGACGTCGTCTCCGAGGAGGCCGCTCCCGAAAGTCGGTTTGCAGTCTTTCAGGTGTTACCCGGCCAACCTGTCGGTTATCGAGTGGCTGGGCACCTACTACGTCGAGATGCAGGTGGTGGAGAAGGCGCTGGGGTACTTGGAACGCGCGGCGGAGATGCAGCCCGGCGACCCCAAGTGGAACATGATGGTGGCCGGCTGCCACCGCAGATGCGGCAACATGCACAAGGCACTGACCCTCTACCGGGAGATACACAAGTGAGGACATGTAACAGTCGTTAAAACTGGCTTCAATCTTGTGTAATTTCCCATCAAATTGTTCTAAAACCGGCTTCAAGTCGTTTAAATCGGCTTCGGTCTGTTCAAAACCGACTTCGACCTTATAAAAGGCAGTTTAAATTCTATCCAAATTATTTTAAAGCCGGCGTCAAAACTTCAGCGCTTTTAAAACGGACTCCAAAGAAAAACAATTTATTTTAAAACAGACTTGAACCTTACAAAATGACGGTTTAATTTCCAATCAAATTATTTTAATGCCTTTAATGACCTTTAATTCGAATTCTTTGCGTTTAAAGGGGAGCTAAAGAGACGGTTTATTTTCTAATCAAATTATTTTAAAACCGGTTTCCAATCGCTTTCAGCGCGTTTAAAACGGGCTTCAATCTTGTACAGCGACAAGATGTTTAAATCGGCTTCAGCACGTTTAAAACAGACTTAAAAAACACTTTAACTCGGATCGTTTAAATCGGATTTGACTGTTTAAATTCCATCCAAATTATTTTAAAGACTTTTGAATCGGCTTCAGTGCGTTTAAGACGGAGTTGAAGGGACAGTTGAATTTATGATCAAATTATTTTAAAACCCGCTTAAAGACTTTTAAAGCGGCTTTAGTGCGTTTAAGTCGGCCTTAAAAAGACAGTTTAATATCCACTTTTAAAACAGGCTTCAATGCGACAAAACGGCTTCAATAGGTTTAAAACGGACTTCGACCTTGTAAAAAACAGTTTAAATTCCATCTCAAATTATTTTACAGCCCGCTTCAAGACTTTTAAATCAGCTTCAACGCATTTAAAACGGACTCAAAAAGACATCTTCCAATCAATTTATTTTAAAATTAGCTTCCAATCGCTTTCAGCGTGTTTAAAACGGACTTTAACGTTGTAAAAAAGACAGTTTATTTTCCAATCAAATTATTTTAAAGTCGGGTTCCAGACTTTTAAATCGGCTTCAGCGCGTTTAAAATGGTAAGTCCATTTATTTTAAAACGGGCTTCAATCTTGTGAAAAGATTTCTAATCAGATTATTTTAAAACCGACTTTAAGACATTTAAATCGGCTTCAGTCGGTTTAAAATGGTCTTAAACCTTGCAAAAAGACGTTATGATTTCCAATAAAATTATGTTAAAGCCGGCTTCAAGACTCTTAATTCGGCTTCAGTGCGTTTAAAGCGGAGTTAGACTGTTTATTTTCCAATCAAGTTATTTTAAAACCGGCTTCAAGACGTTCTCCTCCGAAGGCAATTCCCGGAGAACGCGGAATGTCTCCGGTACCTGGTGAGGCTGTGCGGCGACATGGGCATGCGCGAGGCCCAGGACTACCTGGCGGAGCTGAAGAAGCTGGAGAAGGCGAAAGAAGTGAGGGAGCGCGTGAACAGCGGCCGTCCCGGTAAGACGTGGGGGGCAGGCAAAGTTGCGTTTCGATGACCTCCGAGTGACCTTTTGCAGGCTCCCGGAGGAGCAACAGCGGACTGTCGTCGCGAGCGGGATCGGGATTTAGCCCGGTGCCGGAACACGAAACCGTCGCCCGCGGTCCGAGGTCCTCGAGGGCTCTCAGGGCCCAGTCGAGCGCCGGTAGTTCCGATTCGGGCCTGGGGGGCGGCGCCCGCGACCACGAAGTCATCTACACGGACCCGCTGGGCCCGACGCCGCCGAGGCCGAGGACCGGTGCCGGCAAACCCGTCGACTTTGACGAATTCGGCAACGACGACCTCGGGGACGACCTTTTGCCCGAATAAATACACGTTCGAACAGAAAATTATATCATGAAGCAATATTAAGAAATTTATTTAGCCTTCGGGTCCCGTCGCTAAGATATCCTGAACGAATAAAACCGGCTGCGAGTTGTTAAAACTGGCTTCAGAACCTTAAAATCGGCTCGAAAATCTCCGATGTGCGGAGACGCGAACGATTACGACGAAGTTTCCAAATTTGCTCCTATTTTAAATTTTTTAAAGTCCGCGTCGAGTTTGACACTCGCGAGAGCGGTTAAAACCGGCTTCAAATCGTTATATCCGGCTTATATGTCGGCTCCGTTACGACAAAGTTAGAAATTTGCCTCATAATTTCCGCTTGTGTAAAATCGGCGTCAAATTAAACGTGGGTGCTAATCGTTAAAACCGGCTGCAGAACCTTAAAATCTGGTCCAAAATCGCCGATGTGCCATGACGACGGAGTTTATAATTTGACTTCATAGATGTAGCCGCGAGCGCGTTTCGCGTCGACTATGGCGCGCGCGAGAGTCATTAAAAGCGTCTTCAAATCCTTACAAATCGGCTCCACTACGACGAAGTTTGAAATTTGCCCGATAGATGGAGCCGCAAACGCGTTTATAAAATCGGCTGCGTTTTTTTTTAATCGACTTCAAATTAAACGTGAGCCCGATTCGTTAAAATCCGCTTCAAGGTACACCCTCTTTTTGCGTACTGTTATTTCCAAATTAAAGTGGGCTTCAAACCACCTTAACACCGGCGTCAAAGCGTTAAAACCGTCTTCTAATTCCTAAAATCGGCTGCAAAACCTCCGAGGTGCGATGCCGCGGACGATTACCACAAATTTTCAAATTTATCCGAATAGATGGAGCCGTCAGCGCATCTTGCGCTTGTTATAAAGTTTAACATGCGCGAGAGTCGTTAAAATCGGCTTCAAATAATTATAACCAACTTATTACAAAATTAATTTCCAAATTCAATGAATGAAGGCTCCAAAAACTCCAAGATTCGATGGTACCGGGAACGATTACGGCAAAGTTTCAAATTTGTCCCAATAGCGTGTTCTCTTCTAATATTTTCAAGTTATTAAAATCGGCTTCGAATTTAACGTATACGCGGGTCGTTAAACTCGATATCAAATCCAAAATTAAAGTCGGTTTAAATTGATTAAAATCGACTTCAAATTCTTAAAATCGACTTCAAAAACGACGTTTAAGAGAGAAAAATAATTTTATTTCACCTTTGAACTTACGACTAGGACACTTAAACTTAATAATACGACGCCAGAGTCCGTTTCCGACTCGCGTTTGAAGTCGTGACACGATCTTGTCCTCCTTAAACGGGCTTCAAATTTTACGTACGCACGCGCACATTTCCATCACGACGTTTTTAAAACCGGCCTCAAATTGTTACGGTCTTTACTTTCCGAGTCCGGATCACAGTGAAATGAGGAAAGGGGCGAGGACGCGGGCGTCACTCGCCGAAGCGGCCGCCGGCCATCATCTCGAGCAGCGGGCCGACCTCCTTCGGGTCCTGGAGCACCTCGACGAGCATCTTCTCCACGTTGCGCGATATCGATACCTTCTGGTGGTCCTTCAGGGGATACTCGAGAGAGATGGGGCCGCCCTTGTACCAGAAGTTGACGGATATCGTGGGGCCGGCGCGCATCAGGGACTCCACGTGGTGCCACCAGTAGATCGGGATGTAGAGGATGTCGCCCGGCTCGAGGACGGCCTCGCAGCCCCGCGCCTTCTTGAACTTCGGGAACCTCGAGTAATCGGGCTTGTCGAAGTCCACCTGATAAAAAAAGACGTAATCTTATTTGACAAACTCCATCTGTCAACTTTTTGGCTATCGGAAAAAAGAGGAATATACATTCGCTTATCGCGTACGTCAAAAGTCGAAAATTATTCATTTGTTTTGACAGTCATTTTTCAAGTATTCGACAGTTTATCCGCTGGCCTGAAAGGTTGCTTTATCGAGCGACAATTTGGATTTCTCCCCAACACTCCAGTGAGCTAAACTTTTCACGGGCAGTCGATAGAGTAAATCATCGAATCTTAGCCAAAAATGTTACGAAACTTTGAAAGAGTGCAGACAGTGCCTTCTGGTGTTCCGCAAGGATCACACCCGGGACCCCTACACTTCAATGTCTATGCAACATGCATGTTTCCTATTATTTGCTGACAACCTGAAATTCTATATGCTAATGACTGCATCACCTATCGCTATGGTGCGATTCTAACTGAAGCAGAAATCCCATACATTAAACTCATAATGTAAAAGGGTCACCGTTATTGTAGGCCTCCATAACAAGGGATATTGGAGTGTTAGTCGATATTAAATTGACTTACGCACACCATCTATTGTGTCTAAAATTTGCTGCGCTGAAATTCTTACGGACCTGAGCTGTTATGTAAGCAAATGTAGCGAATCGAAATTGAAGGGACTGCTTTTTTTTGCGTTGTTAATAGTTACAGTAATATTTAATTATTTTATATACATATTATTTTATATTGGGCAGTTGATTAAAATAAATAAATAAAATAAGCGAACTAAATATTCTCGAATTACGATACGTCTTCTTTTTGTTCTCTCGCTGTGCAAAACGTCACGTTGACCGATTCGGTTTAAATTTGGCGCCACGATCCGCAATGGCCGCCGCGTTCCCATTGGTCGGCACAGTTGGAAGCTTAGATCAACCGCGGTCGGGCAACGTGACGTTAGAAAATTAACGGCAGCGCAAGGAGACCGGCTTTCAGTGTTCTGTGATCATCCCGGCGATTGTTTTCTTCGTAATTGTGAAGTTTTCTCAACTCACCATGCTCTGACGGTCGTGCGGATGATACAGGGGGTGCGGATAGAGGCACTCGTAATCGCTGGGCGGGAACAGTATGCACCTCTTGTAGCCGTACACCTGGCCGAAAAAGTTCTGCTGCTCGTCGTAATGGCACGGCGTGACGTTGCCCTCCATCGACAGGAGCAGCAAGTTGGACGACAAGGGTCCCCAGTTGTGTTTGGCCTGTTTACCGGCGAGGTACTCCCAATCGAACTTCATGAAATCCTTGACGACGTTACCGACCGACGAATTGACCGCCTGCTGCAGGTACAGCCTGTCGTCGCCCTTTTTCCACTCGCGGAGCCTCCGCACGAACTCCCCGATCCGCATCTTGCATCGTCTCGTCGGAGGCACGAAATCTATCCCGTGCCGCAGACAGTACTGCACCTTGTTCTCGTCGAAGTACTTGAACTTGTGACTTTGGGACACGAAGACGGTCAGGCCGGGGCCGCCGAGGCACTTTTCCATGTAATCCATGTCCCATTTGTCGACCGCCGGCCTGATCACCCGCGATCCCGCTATGACGACCGGTTTCTGCGGCGGAAAAGAAATGTGGCGGGTCGCCCTCGCGCGTCGCCGCCCCTACTTACGTTGTCGGCGATGTACTCGTCGATTTTGGGGTCCGCGTGGTGCAGCCGCGGGATCGCCTCCAACGTCAGATCGTACTTTCGCAGCTGGCTCTGGTCCCACATCGCTTTCACCAATTCCGAAACCAGACTGGCCTGCCTGCGTGTTGTCGTAAACGAACTCTCCCAGCGGATTATTATTATTGGCGGCGTCTCTCTCTCGACGGCGCGCGGTCCTCGTTTCGCGAAAACGCCACACGTTCGTTGCGTCACGTACGCCAGGCGACCCGCGTTAAGGCGGGCTCACGCACGCGACCCCGTGTGAATTTCATGCCTGTCGATGCTAAAGACGGTAACGCGCGCCCACTGTGACGTTTCGTGTAAACCCGGGCATTAGGCGAGGGTAGGCAGCCGGACAGGCGCCGCCGCGTAAATTCTTGCTGCACGGTAGGCAACCAGCCGCGCGTCGTCCGTCCAACATGTCGTTTTGATGTTTGAAGCCGATCTAACGTAAAAACTCGTCGATAGGGCGTAAAAGAGGATGGGGAGCGGTCCGAGCAAAACGAGGATGCTGACGGTCGAGAACGATGACCCGACGAGCGTCATCAAGGTTTCCGACGACGTCGTGGACCGGATAAAGGGACTCGCTCAGAGTAGGTGCACGTAACCTCAAAAATCGTTCTTTGCGCTTTGCGGCCGAGCGTTCCGCTTTGTTTTTGGCGATCGCGATTGATTAATCCGCGCGGCGCGAGTCGGTAACGCGTGAGCGTGATGCCCGGTGATTTGGTGGAGCCACAAAAAGTGTTACATAATCGCGTGGTTGTTTTGTAGCGGCGCCACGGGCGGAGCCCCAGCAGGCGACGGTCCAACCCGTCTACGTTTCCGAGCCCTCGACGACCAGTCTCGAGATCAGGCGGTCGCACGTCGCCGAACTGAGCAAAAATGACGAGTACTGGGCGGGTCGGTTGAAACACGTCGAAGACAGTCACAGACGGATGAACCAGGTGATGCAGGATGAGTACCAGAAAGCCGTAAGTGTAGTTGTTTCGGGGAAACCGGGACCGGTGAAACTCGCGTCGTTGCAGCTGGACGAGTACAAGGAGCCGAAAAGGACGCAGTCCCTGAAGGAGATTCCGTGTCTCGACTCGAAAAGGGCGGTGATCGAGTGCTACCGGCGGTACCCGGGCGAGCCCCTCAGGTGCGCGAAAGTGGTGCAGGCGTTTCAAGAGTGCGTCGACTTTAAAACGCACAGCCTGCTCGCCGGCAAGTGACCCGAGACGCTCGGTTTAGTGTAACGGCGCTAATTTTAGGTTACGTCCGTCGTGTTAATAAATTATTTTTGTTCGTTTCCGTGTGTCGCGGTTTTTCTTTCTCCCTGGATCTACTCACCGCAGCTCCGCATAGGAATAAAACATAATCATTGATCGAACAAGCATACATTTAAAATTGTCAATGTGAGTTATCTCTAAAACTTAGAGGTCAGGTGTTCTCAAATTTACATTCAATTACATACGAATTATATACGAATAAAGTTAATGGACGACTGTGTTTCACTTACGCGAAGGGGCACACATTTTTATGTTTGGTATCATACATGTGAAGGTCGGAACTCATTACTTTATTTTCTTGCATTATACGTTACGCATCGATTTTGTTAAAATAGCGGCTTACAGTGATCCCCAAGGCCTCCAAGGTAGACAACGCCCAAATAAATTTTTTAGACGTTAAAAACTCTTAAAATTATTAATAACGTAATACCGTGAAGTCCTTTCCTCAAAACCTGCTTTTGGGGTCCAACAGCTTCCAAAAAAATATCAAACCGACGAAACACGGCGATCCCCGAAATAGTCGATATCGGGATTTTTGTCACTCGGAGCGATCGAAAAAAATTCGAAAGTGTATAACCTTAGAAAATGAAAACCATGTGGTAAGAGTACCAAAATAAAATGACGCTTAGAAACTCGCCTCACCGCCTCGTTCCGACAAGACATGTATAAAGCTTCGCGTTTTAAATGCTCTCTTCACCGCCTCTTTCCGATACGCCTCAAATAAATTGATTCCTACGGAACTTTTAAACTTGTCTCATAGGTGGAGCCATAAGCGTCCTCCTCACCACCTATTTCCGGCATCGGTTCTTTGAAATACCACTTCGATTTTTTAAATTTCGTGGACGGGCGGACTACAGTTGCCGACTGCCTAAAATTATGAGTAGAAAATGCTGACTGCATAAAACTCCGATCCGATTTGGATCACTTATCGCTAGTGTGATTTTAACCGGAACAGATAATCGCCCATACATCAACTTACGTCCACGTTCATACCATAAAGCGGAATTCTGAGAAGAAAATGCTGACTGCATAAAACTCCAAATCCGATTTAGATCACTTATGTGTGATTTTTTAACCGGAGCAGATAAACCCCATACATTAACTTACGTCCACGTTCATACCATAGAGTGCAGCACTTATGGGGCACCAAGGACTTGAAGACGTAGCCAACTTACAAAACTTACAAATCTCTAGACAATTTTTTTATCTGCTGCACCACCCAAGTTCTTATGGACCTCCGATGGAAAATTGCCGACAATAAAAACACGAATGGCGTGAATGTAATTTATTCAACGTATAAAAAGACGTCACAAAAATTCCATTTCGCGTTCGATGCCGACGAATTTGAGCTGCTCTGTGGGTCCGTAACGGTAATCGAAGAAGAGCTCCTCGCCGGGCTGTATGGGCCGTTTGGCGAAGATGCCGATGCGGTGGTCGCCGTTGACCATCATCACCTTCGCGTAGCAGTTGGGGTTGATCGAGTGGTTCGCGAACCTGATCTTGTTGCCCTTGCGGGTGGCGTCGACGACGAAGTCTGAAACGACGACGGTGACGACATCCACCACCGCGCCGATCCCCGCCCCCCACCACCTTACCGTTGTTCAAATTGAAGAGGAAACTGCACATGTACTTGTCGTAGACCTTGCCGCGTCGGTCCGCCTCGTCCTGCGAGATGATCTCGCCGCAGTACTCCGAAATAAACTCGTTCTTCTGCGCGCTGTCCTTGAGGAAGATGCCCCAGCCCGCGACGTCCGACGGCGCCATCAGCAGATGCTTATCTGAAACCGAGTGGTACGTGAGGCTCGAGGGGCGGGGCGTCACGGCCGGCTCCTCCTTACGCAGACCGCGTTGTACGCTCACGTTCTTGCACGTAATCTTCGAGATATCGAACTGGTCGGCCCCGCAGGTCTGGCACAGGTCCGGATCGCACTCCCTCACCGCCAGGTAACAGGGGCACTGCTTCGTGTTGCACTGCGCCTTGCACCGGCACCCGGGGAACCGGTTCTGACCTGTCGACGCGTTCGGAGTGTCGGTCACCGAGTCGGTCCCCGGGAGACGTCGCGCCCGACGGAGAAGGCCCTCTCCGCGGACGCGACGTCTCCGACGCACGGGGACGAATTTCCGGGAAAATCCCGGCCGAAAATCCATGCACCCCGTATAACGTCGTCTGAAGTACGATTTTTTTCAGTTACGGGATGTTTTTTGACCATAAAAACGGTACAATGCGGTTATCAACAAGTCGAGTTCTAGTAAAAAACTAAGAAAGGCAAAATTTGAAGATTTGGATCGAGCGATGGTGCAGTGGTTCCAAGCAAAAGTACCACTCTCTGGACCTATCGTCAAACTAAAGTCAGAAAATTTTGCTGAACAGTTTGGCATTATCGATTTCAAGGCTTCGGAAGGATGGTTGGGGAAGTCCAAACGGAGGCATGGTATAAATTATGGACAGATAAGTGGCGAAACCCGCGATGTCGACAGAAACGTCACTGGCTGGAGAGCACGTGGCCAAAACTAGCAGAAAAGTACCCTGCTGACGAAATTGGTATTTTTTACAAAATGACGCCAAATAAAACTCTTAAATTTCGAAGCTTAAAGTGTGTGGGTGGAAAACTTTCTAAAGAACGTAACAGTGTTGGTAGCTGCCAATACGAGTGGGAGAGGAAAAAGAAGAAAAGTGGTGATATTTGATTAAGCCCAATTTCTACTGTTTAGGTGTGGGTACGGACTTTTGTTACTCTGCTAAATTTGAAGTCGACTGCCGCGAATTTAGGACACTTAATCGATTTCTTATACACCACGGAATATCTGGAACACTCTGTACAATAGATGAAAACCTTAAATACCTTTAGCGATCCATAGAGCCTATATCGTGGTGTGAGACACATTGATCACAGCTTTTTATTAAAAGACGAAGCCAATTTTCGGTTTTTTGCGAATAACGGACACACCCCATATATTTTTGACAATTTTGCGACAAATTACCTTTTTCTTGAACCCTTGCGATGTTTTTATTTTTAAAAAATACTTCACGATCCCCCAGCTTGAAACTTTTGTACTTTAAAGTCAACAGCTTCAAGAATCAAATATCGAGCTATAACACTATACTGAATTTTTAAATCAAAAGTACAATAATCAGATAAGACCAAATGGAAACGTCTGGTGGCCACCTCCAAATCTAGACCTCACCCCACAGGTCTTTTTTTATGTTATAAACCATAGAGAAGTTGTTGGTGGACATGATGATGAAAACCTAATGCATATCCTTTTTTTTTTCCTAGTTTTTACTTTACCATTACCAGAGGAAATATCAAAAACAGGGGCGCCGCATTTAAAAAAAAAAAAAGAATAATGCAAGTTGAAATTTGAAAAAATGTCCTTTAATTTAAGACACCCTGTACAATTTTAAAATACCTAGTCATCCCAGATCGTTATAAGGGAGTCTTTTAAAAATTTGATCAAATAGTTATTACTACCACCCGAAGAACATAATTTTGCATACAAAAATCTGTCTGTAATCTGTAAAAAAAAAAAAATTTTCTCGGTCTTTTACATTTTTGCCTATAATTTGAAAACCCTGTATATAATCGAAAAAATAAATGTTATTGCACTGGACCTTCGGTAAAATAATCTTGCCAATCGGATGAACGATTATGGAGGAAAACATATTTTTCTTCAATTCTAAAATTACCACAAAAAAAAATTCAAAAAATACTTGGTAATATTTGATTGCGCCCAATTTCTGCAGTTTAAATGTGGACGCGGACTTTCACTTCTCTGCTAAATCTAAAGTTGATATCTGCGAATTTAGGACACTTAACACATTTCGCATTTAGCGCGGAATATCGGGAACGCCCTGTACAATAGGCGAAAACCTTAAATACAAAAGTTTTTTGCTATCTGTAATACCCATTTTTCAAGTTTTTTTGAATTTGCGGGCCCCCTGTATATGTCTCTCGTGGAGTGTTAAAAAGGACGCAAACTGCACTTTTGTAGCTCCAACGGTTCAAAAGTTATTTAAGAGAAACCAAAGACGAGACGGAGAACAGACAGACAAAAAAAAATTTTTTTCGACGGTGATCATTTCTGTACCAACGGCGATCCCATACCCGTTACCGAGATATAAAATTTTTGTACTTTCGAATATTCGATTTCATCGATTTTCGAAAGTAACAAGAGCGTCTCATTAAAAAAAAAAAAACTGCAAGTTGAAATTTTAAAAAAATATCCTTTATAATTGTAAAATACCTAGTCATCGCGGATCGTTAGAAGGGAGTCTTTTAAAAAAACGCGATTAAAATTCGATCAAATAGTTATTACTGCCATCCGAAGAACATAATGTACAAAATCTACAAAAAAAAAAAACTACACAAAATTCGAATGAGCGGTTTCTATAAAAATTACCTTCTTTTTCGCCAAGGATTCTAAAAATATCAAAATATATAGGGCGTCCCGTTGAAAATTTTAAAGCTCACGTCGGTCTATCACTTATCGGACACTCTGTATATATATTAAAAAATATATATTTTAAAATTGAACGCAAACCACGAAACTTTTTTTTTTGTCTAAAATCAGCGGTCCCTGAGAAAATAATGTGGCCCCACGCCGTGTACCTTTTCCGCGTTTTACCGTTTTGTTTTCTTTAAATTACTGGCGTCGGATTTTCTGCCGGGATTTCCCGTGCGTTCGCCCGCGTGCCGAGACGGTGGCGCCCTCACAGTCGCCGCTGCACTGGCAAAACTTCTCGCAAAAATTCTGCGCGCCGATACACGGACAATTGTGGTCGCAGTTGAGCCCCGGATGGTCGCACGGCGTGAAATTGTACACGTGGTTGCTGCTCGAGTCCTTCTTCAGCTGGATCTTGCGGCAGTGCATCGACCACAAACGGTGTTTCTTCTTCTTTTTGCGGGGCGGCGTGTAATCGCGGGCCGTCTCCTCCGCGGGGATGTCGGCCGCCTCCTTCTGCGCGAACTCGTACACCTGCTGACACGTCTTGGTCAGCATGATCTGCGCGACGGCGCAGTAGTTGCTCAGGAAGACCTTGTGGAGGGCCCGAAACAGACTCTCGTCCGAACCGGTCCACTCTTTGTGGTCGTTCGCGCCCATCAAACCGAGCAGGCTGAACGACGTCGTCGTCGACACCGGGTCCCCGTTCTCGCAATCTAAAAAAAAATAATATATTTTCCTTACGAAAATGAACGATTAAAGGTGCATTTAGAAATACTTCTTTTAATTGAATAATTAAACCATTTACCAATGGTCACTTGTTTCTCATATACAAAGTTCGAAGTGTTTTCGGAGCGCGAGCATTGAAGATGCCAAGTGAGATTTTGGCGAAACGTCTGCAGGATTCCAGTCGGAGTTCAACGAGCGAACGGATGATATCCCGGAATATAGTGTCATCATATATATATATATATATATATATATATATATATATATATATATATATATATATATATATATATATATATATATATATATACAGGGTTTTTCACTTAAAACTCCGCACGCCAATAAGTCCAAAACGAAAAGAAATATTTAATTTATGTAAAAAGTAGTCAAAGTGTGGGGTCAAGTAGATATTTCCCAAAGTTCAAAAAATTCGACGCCTGCAAAGAGCTGGGCGTCGCGACGCGTCGAAAAATTATTCGATTGCAGAGACTTTGGAAATACGCGCATACAAAAGTACATATTATTTAAAAACTTTTTTGTTATTTACTCAAACTTATTTACTTTACCCGTTTCTAAGTTATACCGATTTAAAGTAAACATTTCTTGATTAATAAAAAATGTGATTAACGCTTATTTTTACAAGTATGCCATGAATGTTGGACTATGGCAACCACTGTTATCGCAGTTGTTTTAAGTGCAATTACAAACGTAAGTTGTTATTGCTGTATCAAAAAATTGTCACATTTTGTCACAAGAAATATCCAAATTTGTTCGGTTAAAAAAAAACTAAGAATTATTATGTGAAAATGGTGCAATTTAGCAATGAGGAAAAAGTAGACATGTTACTGGTGTTTGGAGAATGCAGATGCAATTGTAGAGAAGCAAAAAGAGTTTACGCACGGCGTTATCCGCATAGAAGAGTCCCCGATGCAAAAACCTTTTCAAGTTTATGTAAAAACTTAAGAGAATATGGCAGCTTCATAAAACCTAAAGAGATAGGAACAGGACGGCTACAAATGATGAAAATACTGCTGCTGTAATTCAGCAGGTTGATAATAACCCCAAGATATCCCTATCAGAGATAAAAGAAAATACCGGTGTTACCATAAGTTCTTCGTGGAGAATTTTACATAGAAACTCTTTTCACCCGTACAAAAGTAAACTAGTTCATAAACTAGAACCGGGCGATTATGCTAGAAGAATGTATTTCTTAGCGACATTGTCCGATTTGTATAGCCAAGATGCAAATTTTCTCTCGAAAATTTTATGGAGCGACGAAAGTCGATTTCAAAATAATGGAATCGTTAATAGACACAACTGTCGTTTTTGGTCCGAAAACCATCCTCGTTGGATTACAGAAAGAGGTAACCAACGAATTTTTAGTATCAATGTTTGGTGCGGCATATTAAATGGATTCCTTATTGGACCTTACTTTTACGAGAGAACTTTAAATGCAGATCGCTATTTAAAATTTCTTCAAACTACACTTCCGGAACTATTAGAAGAAGTACCTCTTGACACTAGAATGAATATGCGCCTGCACATAATGCCCAAATAGTAACGAGGTATTTGAACCGAGAATATCCCAATACATGGTTTGGTACTAACGGACCGGTAAGGTGGCCGGCGAGGTCCCCGGACATTACACCACCAGATTATTTTCTTTGGGGCTACCTAAAAAACGTTATCTATGAAGAACCTATCGAAGATATGACTGATCTCATTAACAAAATTAGTGCAGCGTGTGCCACTATCACAAGAAGGACTCTCCTACAAGTGACCCAAGCTCATCTGTTAAAAGTTTTTGATAGTTGTGTTCGAGTAGATGGACATAATTTTAAACAAAATTTTTGAAATGTCTTATTATGTAGTTAATTGCAATAATAATTTTGGTTATTAACTTGTAGGTATTTTACTGTTTTTTCATTTATTTATCATGTTATCAGAACTAAATCGATAAAAAATAATAAATAAAATCATACTAAAATAGTTGAAATCTATTGTTTGTAATTGCACTTAAAACAACTGCGATAACAATGGTTGCCATAGTAGCTAACATTCATGGCATACTTGTAAAAATAAGCGTTAATCACATTTTTTATTAATCAAGAAATGTTTACTTTAAATCGGTATAACTTAGAAACGGGTAAAGTAAATAAGTTTGAGTAAATAACAAAAAAGTTTTTAAATAATATGTACTTTTGTATGAGCGTATTTCCAAAGTCTCTGCAATCGAATAATTTTTCGACGCGTCGCGACGCCCAGCTCTTTGCAGGCGTCGAATTTTTGAAACTTTAGGAAATATCTACTTGACCCCACACTTTGACTACTTTTTACAGAAATTAAATATTTCTTTTCGTTTTGGACTTATTGGCGTACGGAGTTTTAAGTGAAAAACCCTGTATATATATATATATATATATATATATATATATATATGATGACACTATATTCCGGGATATCATCCGTTCGCTCGTTGAACTCCGACTGGAATCCTGCATCCGACTGGAAGTGTTCGAAGTGTTTTCGGAGCGCGAGCATTGAAGATGCCAAATGAGATTTTGGCGAAACGTCTGCAGGATTCCAGTCGGATGCAGGATTCCAGTCGGAGTTCAACGAGCGAACGGATGATATCCCGGAATATAGTGTCATCACATTTTTCCATCCGTGAATCAATACGTGAGAATATATATATATATATATATATATATATATATATATATATATATATATATATATATATATATATATATATATATATATATATATATATATATATATATATATATATATATATATATATATATATATATATATATATATATATATATATATATATATATATATATATATATATATATATTTATATATATATATATAATGATAAAAGACGAAAACGGACTTAAGCCACTTTCAAAATAAAGGGCTCTATGGCTATTTATCTGTCGAAACACTGCTGGTTGGTTGGTTACTTGGTCACTACAAATATGGTTACACTTAAATTGTTGTGTTTTCCATTTGTTTGAACGCAATTAAATACGACTTTGAATTTGTTGGTTTCCCACATGCGTCAGTTATTTGGGACATCAACCGCAAGATAGAAATAACTTAAATAAATGTAATTATTGGTGATAACCAATGCAGTTTTAGAGTACACAAATATTTAGTGTAATACCGACCAGACCTGGGAATTTAACAAAAGCTTTCACAACCTCCGACGTTCCATCGACGTTGTTTTTGCAGTACTCTTTTGCCTTTCGAAAGACGCTCTCAAAAAAAAAGCTTTCCTACCAACCTTTGTACTTGTTGCTGTCGTTGCTGTCCTCCGAACTGGCCTCGTTGCCCGAATCAACGCTCTGCTGCTTGCAGATCTTGCGGGGGTTCCCCGTCGGGCCGGCCTTCGCGTCCGCTGCTTCCACCGCCGATTTTCGCTTCTTTTCCTGCTGCAACTCGCTCTCCTCGTCCTGACGCGCCTTCGCCGCCATCTTCTCCTTCACCGCCTCCTGCAATTACGGTGCTTGACAAGTGCGCCTGAACTCTGCCAGACGATCGGCCAAACCGCGGTTTCGCTACCATCCGACAGGTGGCGCGCGTATACGTATGGTTAAAAATAAAAAGTATTTTGTTACTTTCTATTATTGGAAGGGCTGAAAGGCAACCGAAAACGAAATGTAGGTATACATTTAATAAGACAAATTTTTGAAGAATAGGTCGGAATTTCTCGTCAGGGACGAATCGAAGCATTAAATGTGTGCAGGTAATTAATTGAGAATGTTGTCGTAGCGAAATATTAAAATTTGACAGTTTTTGTTATGACTAATACATTACTTGCACGTTGACTTGAAGTTTGCCAATATTAATTATTGCAATCAGAAGGAATTTTTACTTTTTTTTATAAAAAAGGTCATCTCACTCTTGTAGTTGTAGGACTTATTTTAAGCTATTTTTTCTGTCTGTCTTATGTTAAAAATTCTGATATATTTCCTGGATATTTTGTGTTATTTCCATCAGGCACAATTCTGAAATTCTTAAGCATCTTTCAAAAATATGTACACGGGACAGATAGTTCGACTCGGCCAGAGTCAAACATTTAACGCTTTGCAGGAAAAGGCCAACATTGTTTTATTTTACCAAAAGCATGTAGCAGTCATTGCCGCAGGGCTCCGTGAACGGTTTGAGATCGGGGCCGCGTCTCTTCTGCAAATTGGGCCCCGGATGGCAGGCCTGGAGACCTATGCACAAAAAAAAAACAACAGCTAAACGAAACAGGAGAAGGCATATATGGGGGTTACCTTGTTGTCCTGGGAGTTGGCGGCGTACGAGAATACAACGATTTTTTTAATACCACGTGGGTTGAGAAAACCGGCATGGGAGCTGAATGAGAAACAACTTACGGTGCAAAAAGCAGTCGTACTTGAAGCAACGTCTGCAAAACAGGGTGTGAAACGAGTGCATCGTCTGCTCCCGGGGCACCGACGCCGCCTTCGGGCCGTCGATGTTGGGCGTGCACTCGGGGGGCGCGTTCGGGTCCGTCCTCTCCGTCAACTCGATATACCTGCGTAAATCGAACATCTCTAACCTCGAAGACGTACTCGCCGTATGGTCAATTACTTGTCGCGTAACTCCTCGGGGCCTCCTTTGTCCGGGAACTGCCCCGAAATCGCCTGGAAAATGACCGTCGTCGGGAACTCCATGTAATCTGTTTTCTTCTTCTCTCCGTCATCTTTGTTGTCCGCGTCCTCTTTCTTTTTCTCGCTGGGCTTGTCCTGGTATTGCATCAGGGCGTGGACGAGCTCGACGAAGAGCTCGTCGTCGATGAAGCCTGATTCCCTATCACCGTGCACCTTGCCGTCATAATTTTTTATCAGTTCCTCGATGAAGGTGCCGTCCTGGTCGAGGATCTCGTCTCCCATGTACGGGATGTTGTGCAGCACCGTCTCGTCCTCGACCATAAAGTTCTGCTGGATCGGGGCCCAGTTGTACATCGTAGGGATCGGCGTGACAGCGTTTATTATCTTGATCGCGACCACTTGGATGTCGCCCTCGTTGCCGATCACTTCCGCCTTTTTCATACACGTCACGTGGGCCGGGAGCTCCGTGGTCTGCGCCCACACGACTTTGTTGTCCGTCCACCGTTTCTGCTCGGCGACCAGCGTATCGGTCATCTTGTTTCGGTTCTTGTTCCACGCGATCTTCACGTCGTCCGCCCGCTTGTAGCGCTTCTGCTGCCGCAACCGCATGTACTCCTGCTTCACGCGTTTCTTCCAGTCAATCGGGGGCTTCGGCTTCGACATCCTCACGGTAAAGTTTCGACGCGCAACGGACAACGACTCCCGCCCCAAACACCACCACCTAACCTCGTCAAAACAGCATTCTTCTTCTTTTCTTTATCTCGATTGGCCAAGCTGTTCAGATCAATCGGCCAATCACTACCATAGTTCAACATTAATACATGCCGCGTAAACGATTTACACCGTGTTTAGACTTTAATACAAATAAGGTTAACGGATTCGCGCTGGTCACCGACCAACCCATTCACTAACACTGGTCGAAAAAATGTTTTTTTTAATCGATACTATAAAAAACGCGGCGTGGACCAACAACAAACAGCAAAACCGCGGGAGAGTTATAACACTAATACACACCATCTGTACACTAAAATCATTAACAATTTGACCGAAAACAAATCTTAAATGTTGAAAAACTAGGATTCTGTAGGCAGCGGACAAGAATCAATCTGCCTCGTGCAATGCTACCCACCCAAAATAAAGTTCCTTTTAACTAAATATTTCTTCACCAACTGGGCAAAATCACCTGCGTATTGCCCTCCGACGAAAGACATTGCGATTTTCTGCATTCCATAAGGAAATCGAGAAAATTGTTACTACTAATCTTGCTGAAGCAAAATTTAAAATAGCAATTTTTTCTATTCTCCATGGTCCATTCCGATGCAGCGCTATCTCTGCGCTATCAATCCGAATATCCAAATGTCAAAGCAGTGAATGCAAATTGATAATTGTTTGCCGGTTCGGCTATTACCCCGCAGACGTCGCCACCGTTGTTCTCCCATAGAGGCTAAACCAACCTTATATCCTGTGCGGGCGACGTTAACCTCAAATTCCCCGCATCGCTCTAAAAACAAACAGGATGCCGTACAAATACATCGGTAGAACGAACGATTTTCTCGGCAAATCGCTGTGGGAGATCGTCGGCAACCTGAAAAACTTCGGCGTGGGACGCATAGTGACGCGGGGCCGCTTCCAGCGCTACCCGGAACTCAGTTACTTGAAGATCCTGAGCGTGGAGCCGCTGCCGGCGCCCGAGAATCCGTCGATGGACGTAAGTACGCGCTGAGATCGTCCGCGTTTCGTTAAGCGGTCCGTTTTAGAACATGAGACGGGTTAAGGTCGTGGCGGAGAGGACTTTCAGGGGCATGCGGATGCCCGAACCTGTACATATTTGCATGAGCAGTTACAAAAATGACTACCAGCTCGTACCGAAAGACGAAGAGGCCAAGTACACTGGCGCGCCCCTCACGGATTTTGACAAAACGAAAATATTGCCTCAGAGGATGGAGCTACCCCCGTTGATGAGGGAGCTCGTGTTGAGGGAAAGTAAATCTGCTACCGAGGAAGATTTGCAGATGGAAATCGTTTACAACTTGGCTAGTAGCAAGTACAAGTACCGGATAGCGAAAGAAGGGGAGGAGCCGACGGTAAGGCACCCAATAGGTTTGGGCACTCCCATCACCGACCGGTTATACCAGGACGTGGATTTGCGGGAATGAAAAAAAAAACGCGCGTTTGTAAAAAATGTTTAATAAAGATTAATCAGAGTAAAAAAAATCACTTTTTGCTGAAAAAATTCATCAGGGTGGGCTGATTCGAAGGCTTTTTCGGGCCCTTTTTACCCTTGGATGCCTTCTCCGAAGGTTCCCGCTCAATTTTTTTATCCGGCACCTTGGCAGGAGCCGCTTCTGCGGCCTCGTCTTCGCTCGCGGGCTCGAAAACGTACTCCGTGCGTGTCACTAAAACCTCCGTTAGAAAAACCCTGAGAATAAAAAACCCCGGCTCACCTATGAAGCCTTCCTCATCCTCGTAAGTGCGGTTGACCGCTTTCCTCCGCATGGCTGTCGACGCGGGCTGCTTGGCCGGCGCTTTCTCAGGCTCATCGCCCGATTTATCAAACACTCGTTCGTCATCCTCCGACCCGAACAGGTCGTCGCTCTCGGAATCCTCGACCACCATTATCCTCTTCCGTTTCTTATCGCTTTCGCGCTTATTCTCCGCTTTGCGTTTCTTCTCGCTTCCGTTACGCGCGATTTTTTTCTCCTCCTTCACTTTTTCGACGCTCCCCGTGGTACGCGAGGGCGAGGACGTCACTTTCCCGACACTCTCGGTAGCACGTGACGGCGATTTCTCCGCCATTTTGTTGAAAAAGTTAGAGATTCCATTTTTCTTGGGACTATTCCGCTTCGCCGTTTCAACGGGAGCCTAAAAAACCGGCTTCCGCGCATAAGAAACCTCACAACTGCCTCCACCCACAAACCTTAGTGTCGGGTTCCACCTTAACCTCACGTACAGACGCGACAGGGGTGACCTGGTGGTTTTTCAAAGTCCTGCGCTTGCAATTTTTGCCCACAATCGACCCCTCGCTGCAACCAGGCTCCCACATTACAAACTAACCGCGACTCTGAACTTAACCTACATGGGGTGCTCCACATCCTTGCGGCTAAAGGGGTCGGCTAGCGCGACGAAATTAAAGTCGATTTCGGCCGCTTTTTGAACGCTAAATACAGTCGCGACCGCCCCATCCTCGTACAGCCGCCTACGATCCTCCAATTCGTGACCTCTGACTATAGAAACCGCCGTGCCTTGGCCGTTTTTACGCGTTCCGTTCAAAACGTACGTTACGGTGAGCTCGTCCGCTCGCTCGCGCGCCTCTACGTACCGCTGGATGGCGAGCTTCGCCTCTTCCAGAGACAGACCCGCATCGCAAGCGAAAGACGCGACAGTAACCTAAAACTCGCAGCTAATATTCGGCTTCGACTTAACCAGCGACCACTCACGACTTTGTCGTCGTCTTTAATGAACTCGTCTAGCTGTTCGAAACGCTTTTCCATGATTCGAGCGATCACAACGGCATTATCGTTAGACGTCCCGCGGATTTTCAGAACCCGTCACCCACAGAACAAACCGCGCGGTTGCGGTCTGTGACGCGACATGCAAATTATTTTCGAAGCACCGGAAATCGAAAGCAAGATAAAAAAGGCACTCGAGCCCGAAAATTGCTAGCGCGATGTTGAAAAAATACTCCAGCCAGATGCTTTCGCGATAACGAAACTATAAATTGAGCCAGGTGTATGAGCGGCACTTAATTTTTTCCCGGTCACGCAATGAATCAGTCGTTTGTTATTCTGCTCCTCGCGGTTGCTTCTTGCACCGGTAAGTTAACCGTTGTGGCCGAAAAAACACATTTTAACCATGAAATGTTCAAGCGTTCGTCGTCGACCCCAGAATCGTCAACGGCACGGATGCCAGCGAAGGCGAATTCCCGTACGTCGTAAGTACATGATAATCGTTATCCGTCACACGTTCCGTACTTACGGTTTCAGGTTTCTCTGAGATACAACCTGAGCCACGTGTGCGGGGCGTCCATCCTCAGCGACAGGTTTATCTTGACGGCCGCGCACTGCGTCTACTACATCGTCCCGTAAGTAGCGGGAATACAATGACGTCACATAATGATATTTTGGGCCGTTTCAGAGGGGTGGCGGCGGATCCGTATCTATTTTCCATCCAGTACGGTTCCGTGAGCATCTCGGCGACAGACGAGAGGAGCGTAGACGTCGAGAAGATCACGATAGCGGCGTTCGACATGGAAAAACAAATCTACGACGTCGCCGTGCTCAAGGTGAATCGGTGTTCCGTGATAATGTGACGTAACCGCTTTGTTTTCAGCTCGTCAGCCCGCTGCCAAACGACGGTTTGTGGGAACCGGTGAAGCTGGGACGCGATTTCGACGCGTCCTCTCAGCACAGCGGCGTCATCGTCGGCTGGGGAAGGCTGTGGGTAAGCACGGATAAAAGGGACCCGCGGAAAAACGGAGATAATTGTTTTTTTTTCAGGATAACGGGCGGTCCCCGACGGTACTTCAAAAATTGGACGTATCGACCTATACCAGCGCCATCTGCGGCGAATATTACAACAATTCGCACCACATATGTTTGGGCGCCAGCCCCGGGGGTGCCTGTAGCGTAAGCTGTCGTCGCTCTCGACCTTCTCGCGTCTGAAGTGTTGCGTTTCTGTTCGCAGGGCGACTCGGGCACTGCTCTGGTGGTCGACGGCGCACAGGTCGGCATCGCCTCCTTCATAACGAGCTCCTGCGGCGTCTCCGGGCCAAACTCGCCCAACGTGTACTCGAGGGTGCCCTTCTATTACGACTGGATCCTCGAGAATTCGGCGAACTGAGCGAAATAAAACGTTTTTCCGCGATCGTTGCTCGTTTTATTTCCTGGGGCGTTAGTCATTTGCGGGCGGGGTGGGGGATGGGTGACGTCACGCGCCGGATTCGACGTGAAGGCCATCTGGGCGTCGGGCGAAAACGAAAAATTCGCAGGCGGAAACACGTCGTCGAGATAAAACAGATAATGCGACCACTCGAAGCGGGTATAATCCGCAAGATTGATGGCGGTATTAAAAACCACTCGGGTACTCGATAACGGGCTTATAAAATAGGCGGACGGAACGAAGCGGACTTTACTTAAGTAGGTTTCGTTGCAGTGCTTAAGTAGTTCGCGAAATGAAAGCTCCCGCGGTTATTTTGCTCCTGGCGCTAGCGTCTTGCTCTGGTAAGATCTGTGTACATTGAAAGTAACCAAAACTTAACCCTGCCCGCGTTGCAGCTTTCGTCATCGACCCCAGAATCGTGAACGGTACGGACGCAAGGGAAGGCGAGTTCCGATACGTCGTAAGTATAGCGCTAACGTTACGCCCCGTAAGGTAACGATCGCGTCGTTCGCAGGTGTCCCTGAGGAACAACCTTCGACACGTGTGCGGAGGCACCATCCTGAGCGACAGGTTCGTCCTCACGGCCGCCCACTGCGTATACGACAACGACAGGTAAGACGCGAACGAGGACGTCACGAAACGACTTTGACGAGCTTTTCAGAGGCCAGGCGGCCAATCCGGCCTTATATTCGATCCAGTATGGGTCCGTGCACATCTCGCAGACCGAGCAGAGGAGCGTCCGCGTCCAAGAAATCAGGCTGGCGCCCTTCAACAGCGCCCGACTGACCTACGACGTGGCCGTGCTAAAGGTAATTCAGTGGTCTGTGCCGCGACGACGTTTTAAGGTCGTTTTTAGCTCGTCAGCCCAATCCCGAACAACGGACTTTGGGAACCAGTCAGGTTGAGCCGCAATTTCGACACTTCCTCGCAGCACAGGGGCGTGATCGTAGGGTGGGGTAGGTTGTGGGTAAGAAACGACGTACGGGGCGCGCCGGAATCGTCTTAATGCGGTCGGTTTTTAGCAAAACGGGCCAATACCGTCGACGCTTCAGAAATTAGACGTCCAGACTTACACCAACTTCGTCTGCGGGCTGAGGTTCGATAATACTCATCATATATGCTTCGGGGCCACCATCGGAGGAGCTTGCAACGTACGGCGCCTCTCCCTTTCGCGTCAGTTGCGTCTTAACGCGTTTCTGTTCGCAGGGCGATTCCGGAACGGCTCTCGTGGTCAACGGCGAGCAAGTCGGCATAGCCTCCTTCATTACCAGCACCTGCGGAGTGACCAGCTCCCTTACTCCCAACGTGTACGCTAGAGTACCGCACTACTACGACTGGATCATCAGGAATTCGGCGAATTAAGCGAAATAAACGTTTCCGGTCGTTCGTTTTGAGTTTCACTTTCGTTTCGTTCCGTGGGCCTTGTGGTCCGTGGCGTTAGCCATGGACCATCGCTTGGCGGTTGGTTATTTAACGCATTTTAGGCAATAATAGGCACGGTGAACTGGCAAATACCAATTTTTTGCACGTGATTACAATTACAACCTCATAAAAACCGTTATTTTGCGTGATATTTTTGACGATCGACCGGCCAATGAAGTTAAACAAATAGTTTCACGACTTGGGCCTCCCGCATTAACACCAAGTCGTAATAATCGCTTTCCAATAATTTGCATTTTCAAAGAGGCAACTGTAAACGTGTCTGCTGAACTTTACTTACAAACCATCACAAGATACACGAAATTATCTTTACTTTTTCGTAAAGTCAATACAGAATAATTTATTATTGAAACTTGTATTACTACTGGGAGCCTTGTTTTACCATAAGTAGTGTTGAACTATTTCATCGAGGGCGAAGGCTTCAAATAAGAGATAAATTAGAACAATTTCAAAATGAGAGGTGCAGAAGGTACCTAATTTCTTTTCCTTAGCTGGTCTTCTCTATATATCTGTTAGGTTTTGAGCAATTTAGTCCATTTACTTCGCAACTCAAAAAGTTGATCTATTGGGCTGTCACATATAGAGAAAATTAATCACCTGAATTGAATAGTCGTTATTATCGTTGGCTGGGCATGTGGTCGCAGTTTGTTTTATCTGGGGATTTGCCCTTCCTAGGTTACCCAGAACAATACTTGGGTTTTGTTTATGAAGTATTGCTCGGGATTTAAAGCATTTCTTTCTGCATATGGCATTATCTAACAACGGCTCTCTCACATATCTAAATCAAGTGCAGATTGCGCCTTTTTGTTTCCAAACAGCGATGTCCAGACACTCGAGTCTAGTGTCTTGGGGTGCGCAACGCAAGTTCTCGTCTCTCAAACACATTGACCGGTTTCAATATTGGGCTCAGAAGACATGGTGGACACATTTGAGCCTCTACTACTTAAAATCCCTAAACCCAAACCGGAACTTATAAAAGAAGCACACAAAATTTTGTCCATGAATTCTATATTCCGCGGCGAAGGTGAAGTTTACGTTTTTAACCAAAATAAAAATCCGATACGACTATCAGCACTTTTATTTGACAAACAAATCTCGAATCGCGATTACGGCTGCGAGTTGGCTCGGATCCAGTCGACGTAGTAAGTGATCCGGGTGAAGACGTCGGGCATGAAGGCGCCGGTGACGCCGCAGCGCGCCCCCAGGCTGTACGAAGCGATGCCCACCTGGAGGCCGCCGACTACGAGCGGCGACCCGAAGTCTCCCTGCAAAATTAATTACTCGCCCGTCCGGCCACGGACCACGTAACCTCACCTCGCACAGACCGCCGTCGCCGCCCGTCGAACACAGATGGCGCAAGTAGTTAATGCGGAGCGAGCAAATCGCGTCCGCCAGAATCTGTACGTCGAGCTGGAGCAGCGTCGACGACATGTTCCCGTACGGCTCGGTGACGCCCCAGCCCACGACCACGCCCTGGTTGGTCCAGTCGGTGTCGAAGGTGTCGGCCAAGGTCACCGTAGACCACGAATTGTCGGACGCGTTCAAAGCGGCTGCCAGCTGCAACGCAACCGTTAAAAGTGCAAAGACTTTCGTCCCCGGGGTCGTACTTGCAACACGGCGACGTCATTGTTCTGTACGTTCCTCGCGAAGGGATAGCAGGTGACGTTGGCGACGGCGACGCTCTTGTCGTTGGTGGCGGTCACGTTAACGGTCCCGTACTGGACCGTCAGTGACGTAACGTTTACGGGCCTGAAACGTCGTCGTCGTCGCGTCTCGATACGTGGACGGCGTCGGCGACGCTCCTACTCACCCGTTCTCGTCGCAGACGCACACGGCCGCCGTCAGCACGTACCTCTGGTTGAGGATCGAGCCGCCGCACGCGTGCACTAGGTTCCTCCGCACGCTGACTGTGTAGTTGTAGCCGCCGGCCCCGACCGCGCCCCCGTTGGCTATGCGTAACCACCCCCGGGCGGCCGCCGCCGCCGAGCATACCGCGAACCACAGCAACAACGTCGTTCGAGACATCGGGCGGTAAAAAAAAATCTGCATCGCCGCTTGCATCGGGCTCTTATAAAGCCCGATGCACTGCGAGATAAAACGCGGCACTCGAGCCCCGAGATAAGCACGCCACTGTCACGTGGCGGCCGTCTACGAAGCCGACTCCCTGCGCCGCTGACTCGCCCAACAAAGCGTCCGCGGCTATAAATAAGCCGTCCGGCGTTGCGGATTTAGCTTCCGTTGAATTCCCGACGCCCGCGTACACTGCCCGACCGGACAAAGATATGACATTGCGCGTGTAGGCGGAGCCGACGCGTCACTGACGTCACGCGGAACTTAATTCGGCGGGATTCCAAACTAAACATCATCGTTTGTGTTCCGTGGCGCAGTGATCCGATGCCCTTTCGGTTATGAAGAAAACATTCGAAACATTTCGATAAATGTCTAAATATTATATATCAAAGGGAAATTGGCTCGAAACAGCCGGATCGATAGGAGAAATATAAATAAAATTAGACTCTTATTGGTTTAGTGGAATTCAGCATGTAAATAATAATAAATAAATAAATAAAATCGCCTTTATTTTAAACTTTCCGAGTTCGCAATAAGACAATTTAAACTTCATTTAGTATACCAATTTTACGTACAAAGATATGAATCAAGCAACAAATCAAAAAAGAAAAACGATAAAAAAACGATATTAAATAAAGAGAACTTGGTAGTAGATATATTTTTTAAATGAAACTTAAAAGGGCAATGAGGATTTTTATCACGTAGTTTAACAGACGTAAACGAGAATCAGCCTTTAATCAACCAACAAATATGACGGGTGTCCAGTAGTTTGTGAAGAAAACAAGCAAAAAATATATATTTAACCAGTTTAAATCGTGAAGTTTATGACTTACATGATCTCTTCGTTTGAGGTTATGAATAAATTGAAAGTTTTTACATGACACAGCTCTACTTAAATCTAATACGACCAGAGCCGATGTTTCCCCTTTATCTACCTATAAATCAGTTTTTCAAATAGGAATTCCAAAATATTTTTTTTTAAAAAAAAACACATTTAAAAAATGTAATTAATTAATATTGTCTATAGACAACATCACGTAAGAAGGTAATAGCAAAGTTCAGAACCAATTTTCTTGTTTCTTTTCCTATTTTCCTCCTGTCCAGCTGTTCCGACTTTTACGTCTGCCAGTGTAGTCGCGGGCGACGAAGTCGTCGTCGTCGTCGGGCGTCTGGACGACCCAGTGAGCGGCCGATAGTCTCGCCGCGCGTTTCGCATACTTTTAATAGTGCGTCCGAGAAGAGGTGGTGGATATAGTACCGTGCGTTTTCGGGTTATGACGGTATGGCGGGCGCCGCTAGAGCAGCAGCGCCCGGCGGCAGCGTCCACAAGGTCAGGGAGTTCGAGCTCGAGCGCGTCAACCTGGTGGACGAGTTCGACATCCTACAGATCGTCGGCGAGGGCTGGTTCGGCAAGATTCTGCTGGTCGAGCACCGCGCGACCGACACGGAGATGGTGCTCAAGGCGCTGCCGAAGCCCTATACAGCGCTCAAGGATTTCTACAGGGAGTTCCACTACGGCCTACACCTGGGGGCCCACAAGAACATCGTCACCGCGTACGACGTCGCGTTCGAGACTGCCGGATTCTACGTGTTCTCGCAGGAGTACGCCCCACTCGGTAAAGTCCGTTCCGGAAACTTATTAAAGCTGTAGCTTCGTCGTTACGAAATTATGCACACGTATATTAGAAAAGAAGATGCTCTTCGTTCCTAACCTTAAACGTAAACAGAGTACAAGTACAATAATGGGTTTCACAAAAACTGTTAGGCTAGACTGCTAGGATCATTTGCCCATTGCCGACTTCCGTCGAGGATCTTCGCTTTTGGCCATAGACCAACACGTACAAAGAAAAAATATGACCAGTATTTGCTCAACTAGCAAAAAAACAATTTTGATCGATACCAAAAAAAAACCGGCATCCCCCCGCTTCCACCGCGGACCATCCGGGCCCATCCGGCCTCCCTACCGGCGTGAACGAGCAAAAACCATGGGGTCGGCAACAATTATCACTTTAAACCATTAACTAAGCACTAAAAACACTAAATCCACCCAGTGGGAACCGCTTTCAAAATTTTTGGGGACAGTTACAAGGGATTCTGTACGGAGCGAACGGAGGTTAAACCGCCGCGCGCGATGCTCCACCACAGAATCAAACCGAGTATATCATTTTTCACGGCAACAGAGCTTACTCTTCCTCTTAAACTCACTTAAACTGCGCTACGCAGTTTGCAAAGTCATTAGGCGGCTTTGTATTTTAAAGGTTATTGTTCTGGTAGGATGCACCGCGTACAACTGTGGGACTTTGATCAAGTAAAAGCCACCCCAGTTCAATGCTTCCTGTATTTAGATATTGTACTTGTTCCGTTTTGTTTGGTTTCATGTAAATACTGCGGGTAAAAAATGTTCATTGCACGGACTGTGAAGGACGTTAAAAATACGCGCGATAACGGCTTCTATCTCGAGTGCATAGTCAATATTATTGTCGCGAAATTTCAAGTCCGTTTGTCCAGGCGATCTAACCTCGAACGTCTCCGAGATCGGTATCGGGGAGCTGCATACGAAGAGGGTGGCGCGTCAATTGGCCGCCGCGTTGGAGTTCATGCACGCCAGGGACCTGGTGCACCGCGACGTCAAGCTGGACAACATTCTCGTGTTCAAATCGGACTTTTCGCGGATCAAACTATGCGACTTCGGGGAGACCCGGAAAGCGGGCTCGACGGTGCTGCGCAGGAACGAGTGGCTGCCCTACGCCGCCCCCGAGATCCTCGAGGTGCCCACGGACGGCAGCTACGCGTGAGAGTCATCTCGGAGCGGTCTCGCGTCCCGGGGGTTTAACGACCTCGATTTTCCAGGACCAACACGTCGCACGACGTGTGGCAGTTCGGTATCGTCATCTTCGTCTGCTTGACGGGGTGTCTGCCGTGGCAGAAGGCGTCCCGCGAAGACCCCAGGTACGCCAGATACCTGTCGTGGCAGAACAGTGCGTTGCCGATCAAGCGGCAGCCGAAACTGTTCAAGCTGGTATCGTCCAAAGCTCAGAGGTTGTTCAAAAAGTACCTGGAGCCGAAGCCGGAGCGACGCCCCGCCACCCTCTCCGACGTCTACAGGTGCGAGTATACTTCCACCAGAGATATAGTGCTTTTGGAACCGACCCCGCGATTAACTTTGCCTACTGTTTGTTACCGTCAAACCGCGAATTTATCTACCCGGAACACCCTATATTTTTATTCAGATGTCAATTGTAGAAGAAAAAATAACGTAAGTTTGTAATTTATCTTATATTTAAATTTTTCTTACCTTTTGAGATATTCCAGATTTAAAATAAAATGTTTTATTTGTATTTTAGATAAGTTATAGTTTTTTGGTTTACCAAAAAATTATTTATTTTTGATATTAGATTTTTTAGATTTTTATTAAACCTGTTTAAGTAAGTAGTATGGAGTCAATTTTTTTCGAAATTTCCACGTATTAATGGACACCCTGTATTGTTAGCCATAGGTAGCAAGGTTAGCAAGAAGTAGTATCACGTCTTTGCAATTTAAAAAATACTTAAAATTGCATAGTGTGGGCGGTTTTTAATTCAACAAGAATTTCTACGGGTCTTATCTTAAACCTCGAATATAAATATATAAATTACAAATTTACCTTATTTTTCGTCCCACAACTGACATCTGAATAAAAATATAGGGTGTTCCCTTTAAAAATCTTGAGATTTTGTTAATTGAATTCGCCAAAACGGCACCCTGTATAAGCCGAGACGGACTTCTTAGTCTGTAGTTAAATTTTGGTTGCAGTACCAGAAGCGTAACAACACAATTTTATGTGGGGCAATCAAAATATGAAAAAAAAACACTATAATCTCAATATCTGCCCAAACTATCCAAAATTCTTAAGGAAAATGTTCTCTATTTTAACCAAGGATTCAAAAAATGTCGAAATATAACAACAATAACAATGATGATGTCGTGGGCAGGGGGGGGGGGGGGGGGCACTTTTGGCACACAAAAATAAAATTATAATATTTATAATCTTCAAGACAGTCCAAGACACTTTTATACGAAATTTCTGAACTGAAAATCCTTTTCTTCAAATAGAGTAAAGGTCCTCACCCTTACCCTTTGAACTATCTAGTGAAAACAGCATCGCGGCGGGGTCAAAGCTCGAGAATCAGTTACGTAAATACGTACTTACTGGAAGGATCACAGCCAAATACCTGCGTAATATATACGAACATACTCTAATTCAGATTGAATGATACATATCACCTGATGTTAAAATAAACGCTTCGAAAATACCCCAAGGTCCGCGGTTAGCTATATTTTTGGTTGTACTATAACTGCTTCCGACATCGGGTGTCGATAGGTTCACCGACGACCGATGGATGTCGAAGGGCATGGAGAAGACGAACGAGACGCTGAAAGAGGAGGAGGGCCTGTGCCCGTCGATGTACAGCTTCCACAGCTCGCCGGAGGAGAAAAACAAGCTGCTGCGCACTCTCGCCCTCTACGGCCTCGAGACCACCGTCGACAGGAACGCGAAGAAGGACCGGATCAGGCAATGGATCCAGAGCAGCGTCATCGAGGAGGAGAACGAGGACGTCGACGACGACGACGTCGACGAAGAAAAGTTAAAGATCCACGACCATCGAAACGGGCCCACGGGCGAACGAGTGGGGGCGAGGGGGCCGGTTTCCAAAGACTCGGGGGCGGGGAGGGAATATAAACCGCCCGTGGACCCCAGGATACCGCTCGAACGACAAAAGGACAAGCTCCGCCCCGCGACACACGCGCCCGCCAATAGAAACGGCGGGTGGGCGTGGCCGGCTCGAAACGGCCACGCCCACGCGGACGAGAAGGTTCCGGCGTCGGTCGTCGCCGCTGCGTTGCCTTTTAGGCACGTCACGATCGCGGACACGCCCGGCGTCAGGCACAACATAAGCGTGCAGTTACCGCAGACGTCGGGCGTCGTGGCGCCTTCGATGAGGACCGCGAGGGAGGGACACCGAAAGAGTGTCAGGCACAAGACGTAGGTTAGGTTCAACCGTTAGGTTTCCGGCTCTGTGATATCTATTACGTTTGGTTTACCTTTTTATTCGACCAAAAATACATTTTTAACGATTTAGAGGGGGATGTTTTATTACACGAATTAGAAACGAATATAAATCTGCAATAGAGTAGTTACGTACTCGAACCGTTGACATAGAATGACTTCTTTCTCTTCTTCTTTTTTGATATTCTCAAACAGTTGGGCAAGACTACTATGGCCATTCGTCCGTAGAGGAATTTTTCCCTTTGCTCATAGACCAACAGTTTTAGAACACTAAAAACACTAAATCCATCACAGTGGAGCGAACGGAGGTTAAACCGCCATGAGCAATGCTCACGACAAAATCCGGCATAGAATCAAGAAATTCGTTCTGCAATGAAGTAATTACATCCACTGGCAATTCAGCTGTCAACTGAGAGAACGCCTTCCATAGAACGCTGCTTCTTGTATAACTATCACTTCGATCTAAAAAGTCCTCATATTGTAATGCACAGGTAAGTACACACCATAACCCCAGAGTTTCTTTCTATTAGGATTGCCCAGTCCCATAAGACGTACGATCGCTAAAATTATCGATCGCACGTGGTCGCTTGTGACGTAAGCGAAGTCCTCTATCGGTTTTTGTGTATTCTGTCAATGCAAGATAATGCATATAAGCCAAACTTGATTGCAATAGCATTATTTTTACCCTACCTGAGACCCTACCCTTCGCTACTTCCCAATAATTATTAAATAAGTTCTAAAACAATTTAATTTTGACGTTAAATGAAAATAACTAGTGATTATCCAAACAAAATGCTATATTAGCTACTGAAAATACTCAAAGTCCATCAAAACTCGGGTCAGTTTCAGATTATTTCCATGCATTTACGTAGTAAACTAGCCAATAAATTACTTCGCCTACGTTACAGCCAGCGATTTGCCTTATTAGGCAATCCTATTAGTTTTACGACTCTTCTTATTTGCCAGCCTCCTACGAACGTTAAGTGTTTGGCAAAATGCCACAGACCGTTGACGTATATCGCGATACGTCACTAAATCTTCGATGGCCAGATGGCCGGGACCGTTGGCCCAACACGCAAGTAAACTGTGTCGGACAATCTAATGTCTGGAAGGCGTTGATAGATGAAAATAGTGGCTTACAGTGATCCTTATTTTGCGCACAACACAAAGTGCGAACAATCTTTTTTTAGAATTTTAAATATTCTATCAGCCTCTGAAGAGTCTTGCCACAACAATATGTTGCAAGTTCAATAAGTTTTTGAATCTGAAATGTAACTTTATGTCAAAAACAGCTATTTTTACGATTTTCTCGAAAAATTTAAATATAATGGTATACATATTATTAGCTAAGATGAAACACAGAAAGTGATGTAAACGGCATGTTAATATTTTTTTCCCTTTTGAGATATAAATAAAAATGTGTTTATTAAGCATATTTTTCAACCTTAGACATAAGAGTCGAAGCTCCTAAAACTAAACTAAGTCCGTCGAAATCAGAATAGCCAAAAAACGTTATCCAACTTTTTCTAGACCAATATTTGACCCTTCCGCTTAATTTGACGAGACAGAAAAAAATAAATCAAACAAAAAAGTTTCCTTTTCTAGAGTAGATTACGCTAAAACTAATTCTGATATAGGTTAATTTGGAATATTTATCAATTTAACATAAACTTCGTTAAACTTCGCCGGCCAAATTGCCCAGACCGTTCGCCCATCACGGACGCGGGTAACAGGCTTCAGGAAAACAACGTGTTTGTTTCAAACGTTTTATTACTAGAAGTCGTAAATATTACAATACGTGAACCAGAGAGCATAGTTTATGGATAACTGACGTGGCCGCGCCCGGCGCGGCGGTCCGGTCGCGCGGAGCGCGGTCGGAAGACTGAACGGCTACGTTATAGAAAAACTACGCTTTTTTTGGCATTGATTTTGACACCGACCGGTAAACGACAAACAGCTACGTTCACGGGAGGGGCAGGGGGAGGGGAGGACCGACCGAAATGGTTATTACAAATGTGGCGGAAATGAATTACAATCTAATTAATGCTTCGTAGGGGCGTCTGCGTCCCTCGCTCGCGATTACTGCCGGTTGCGGCGTGGACCTGCGACGGAAACGGCGCAAATCAGTCGTCGAAAGAGAAAAAGAGACGGAACGTCCGATACGAGTACCTTTCTTACCTTTGGTCGGTTTCGGGCCTTTTGCCTTGCACTTTTTCGTGATCTGTCGGGTTTGTTCGCAGGAGGCGTCGCTGCCCGTCTTCAACTTGTCGCTCCGCGTCATCTGTCCCTGCGGGTTGCACTCGGCCCACGCCCCTTTCTCGTACCTGCAGGCTGTAAAAGCGCAGGATACGGTGCCACGTAATTTCCACCCTAACCTTGTTGTGATTATTTTGTTATTTATCCACTGTAAAAGGAGAAGAGGAAACATTTGTCCAATAGAACCTAACCTGCAAAGGCAAAATCAATCATAGTGCAATGTGTAAGTGACAAACACCTTGATATAATTAAAGATTCAAGTATTAGCATTAGAAGATGTATTTCAGAGGAAAAGTGTATTTGCGAAGTTGACTTTAAGGAAGAAGTTGCTAACAATAAAATGTAACGAAAGGAACGAAAAATTAGAGGATCATTTTTTGAAATTTGACTCTGTAATGCGAGAATTAGAAAGTATTGGGTCTAAAATCGAAGAATCGGACAAGGTATGCCACTTACTTTTGTCTCTTAATGAAGACTATGATCCTGTAATGAATTGAAACATTAAACACAGATGTAACAATGGATTTTGTCAAATCGAGATTGTTGGACGAAGAATTAAAAATGAAATCACGAAATGATAATGAAGTTACATTCAAAAAATTTTTTGAGTGAAAGGGAACACGGGTAAAAAAAAACACACAAAAAATTAGATGTGATAATGGGGGGTGAATTTTCTTCAAATTATTTCAAACAGTATTTCAAAAAAAAGGTAACTTTGTTAGATAAAGTAAGAACTGAATTTGCTGAAACAAATTTACCCAGAGAGGGAGAGGCAATCTTATGTCCAGCATACGAGTTAAATCGGTCACCCACAGAAGCAAATGGTGGTGTTCCTCATTTTGTGAATTTACGAACACACGGATGTATTAAACTAAAATAACTTTTTCCTTTTTCCTCTTCTCCTTTTACAGTGGACAAATAACAAAATAATTACATATTCAACAAACCTCACTTTCCCGGAGAAACCCGGAGGCGCCGTTTTCGACCCCCTTCGACGGGTTTACCGGCGGGAGGGGGCGGGCGCGCCAATTTTTGAGCGGTGATTGATGCGAATCGCATCGATCGGCGACCGAACCGCCCCTGCCCCTCCCACGCGGTGTATTATAATCTCCGGGACAGTAATCCGGTCGTTGTTTGTTGTTCGAGGGGAATTGACGATGAAAAATTGCCGAGTAAGACACTCGAGGCGGCCGTCGATGTTTGCGGATATATTTCGAGACGAGATTCGGCGTAAAAAATATTGAACCAAGCGCCCCGCGCGTGACGTCACGGTCGTTTACCTTTCTTGCACTTTTTCTGCACGGTTTTGGTCGGCTCGCAATTCGTCTGGTTGCCCTTCTTCAGCGTCAACGTCCTCGACCTTTGGTTGGTCTTCGGGTCGCACTCCGACCACGCCCCCTTGCCGTACCGGCACTCTTCTGCAATTAAATAAACCACGCGTTCGAAACATGAAACAACAATTCACGTAAAAGAAGAAGAATGGTCTGTGACAATTACATTTTGCGTAAAGTTGGGTTCGGTAAATGATTGAAGACGTGGTTTGTAAGTAAATTAGAAACGAATTTCGATGAGAATGACCTCCGTTTCTTCCATGTTTCGGTTCGAGCGACGTTGACACGCGCTAAAAAAGAATGTGTCTATTCGCCTGACCGCCATAAAAGGAAACCGGCCACGGGACTAAATCTACGTCGTAAAAAGGCGCTCTGACCCTAACCGGGTGATATCGAGATGGCAACGCCGGAATCCCGCCGTCCCCATTTTCGGGCCGCATTATGCGTCCCAGATGGTCGATCGGAGAACAGTGATTGGGAAATTAGAGCCTCGTTCCGACCAGAAAGAGAACCCCTACACCGCGGTCTTTTTTTTATGTCGATGGAGCAAAACAAAACAACCCCCGGCGTTAAGCAGGTGGACGGCGCGATTCTTATTGGCCGATCGTTGGAAGCCGGCGCGGACGAGATCGGAATCCGCCAAGGCCGTATTCGGCGGAATTTGTTTTCTGCGACGTGCAGCTCAACCGTTTGTCACGTGACAACGTACAACTGAATGCGTAATATTTGTGCAAACGCCCAGAAAACCAAAAACGTCTCTTTGTAAACATTTACAAAGAACCGTTTTTCGTAAATATTCGACGCCGAAGGATTTAGAGCGCAAAAATCGAAGTAAACGGTACCTAAGCATAGTTTTTTCTAAGCGTTCTTCAAACATGTTTGTGCGATTGGCGAGAATTGTTCGCAAAGATTTTTCATATGTAATTGCGAACTTATCCACCGCACTCTTTTCAAGTTCACAGCGACAGCGTCAATCTTTATTAAGTACGGCCCTGCGGGGTAGTGCGTGCCTTTGTTTATATTTAGTCGGTGGGCCGTAGTTTCTCGACGGGCGCCTTAAAACGGTTACATTTTAATCCTTTTACATATTTCTGGACGTTCCGACTCGGATGACGTGGTTAGTGAACTTCCCTCTCATTAGGCGATATCCGAGCGTAATTGGACAACAGTTTATTTTACGTTACCCGGAGATAATCAACCGCCTTAAGCGTTCCCTGAGCGCTGCAACTAATTAGGATATTTACGTCTGTTTACGGCGAAATAATTGCTTTCGAAACGACGAAAATCTCGAGATTGAGCCGATGTTTTTAGGTCGGACGATATTTCCGGTGGAAGTTTTTGACATTTGGGGCTCGTGTGGCCGGGTAAACGCAGAGGTTCGAATGAAAACGAAAACGCGAACACGAAATCATGTATATTCATCTAACCTAAGTCACAGAGTATATGTTTTGTCAAACGTCTACATGGTCACAGACCAGTGGTAATGTTTCATTCGTGTTTGGTTCCGATCGCTAAATGGTCTCGCAAAACGTGCCCAAGTTGCCGTGACCGCTCCCGGTGCCCCGAATAGCGAATTAATAAGGTAGAGTATCGATAACCGACCGCCTCCCACGATGTAATCGACTTTCCGGAGACATAAATCTCGAGGGGTTTCGTCTTAAATTCGGAGGACACCTTCGCCGCCTCCTGACATTTAGAAACGGGAACGTAACTAGCTTTATATAGATGGTGTGGGCTCCACAAAATGAGAAACACGATAAGATTTATGCATTTTTGTAAAAGCGGCGACGCTCTAGCGATGTAAAGTATTTCTAATGCGACGTTACCGCGTCTTCGGAAAAGTAGCATCAACAACGAAATTTCTGTCAAGAAGATAATTATTTTAATCATTTTTGCGATCAAAACATAGCTTTGATTAAACTTTTATTACTGTGGTGACGCTTGAGCCGGTAGAAGAAGAAAATTATGGAGATAGCTTAGGAAGGTATCGAACGGAATTTCTTGGTTGGTTATACCGGGTTGGTAAAAGATAATATAGTGGCCTTATTACGGTATAAAATGATGCGCAGCAGATACTGACTCATACACAGATATCTCTTGCGTATGAGTCGCCCCACCTAACTGTCTCAGTGGCCACACTGCCGAATTTTTTCTGGATAATTGATTCATTTTTGATAAGAACGCAACATCCATCTCCGAAATCCGAACGTAATTGCCATAGTTGTTTTCATTTTTAGTGTCAACATCTCCGTACCGTACTCACAAATTTGTATGATTCGTGTTCAATACTTTGTTCTTTTACGCAAATGTGGCAAATACGAGGACCTAATAGGGTCTTAGAGAAAGAGTGATTCCTATATATATATATATATATATATATATATATATATATATATATATATATATATATATATATATATATATATATATATATATATATATATATATATATATATATATAATATATAATATATATATATATATATAATATATATATATATATATATAAAATATATATATATATATATATATATATATATATATATATATAAAAATATATTTTTAAAGGGATTGAGTTGCTAATAAAGAGATGTAATAAGTGTATTGAAGTTAAGGGGGATTATAATGAAAAATAATAACAAAATGTTACTCTACTTTGTTTCTTTCATATTTTTTTTGCACAGTTGCTTCAGCTTATGTCTAGTAGCTAACCAAAACTGGTGGAAAGTAGGCTTTTTTTTTTAAATAGGACACATATTCTGAGATCAAATTCAATACACTTTCGAGTTTAATTGACGCATTGTTTTGGTAGACAAAGTGAAACACGAATTCACCTTCCGGTCGCTAGGTGGCGCCGCTGCTGTAAAACCAATACCAAAAGCCGCGAAATAACTAACCACATCTGGTGTATTCGCCTTTTCGTGCTTTTTTGCTAATCTACGTGAACTGTATACACTGCGACCGAGATACTCACGATTTTTGGCTCCCCTCTCACTCCTGATCAGCACCTCGTGATCGTCCTCCTCCCAAATCTCTCCTTCGGCGGCGGCGAAGGATAAGACGGCCACCGCCAAAACGCTGAGCACCAGCAACCACTTCATCTGCAACAGGAGAAACGTCCGATAATACCCCTGGTATCAACGCTCAAACTCATGCCAGCCTTATCGTCCTCATTTGGTCCTGTTCTTTTCGGTGGTGGCGAAAAAAAAAGGTGTAGGGTATTATATCGGATAGAGGAAAGTTCGAGAAAGACACGGCAGTGTTCAACAAGACAGAAGGGACTTAGAAGTACGCGGTTAGGTGGAACAGGTGATGGATAGGAGTGCGTTACGGGGATACGGTAGAAGCTGTATAGCTATAGCTTATATATATCACAGGCGAATTTAATCACTAGCCAAGGAAACTCGAGTTCCTTGGTTCAAATGCCGCATTCTTTTTTCTGGAAATGCGATACTCTTGATGCAAAGAAATGTTCATTGTTTCAATTGTTTCATCGCACTTCTATAAAAAGAACGAAAATTCTGAGATGGAATGTGTTACGAGAACAGCATAATCTTTTCTATCAGTATGTAGTAGTAGTATGCATAAACACAGTCTCGGATGACCGATTCCCATATTGGTGACAGGTGTAAAGACCTGAGTCGCGGTTAAGATTGTTAAGTTTTTTAATAGATTTCGTTGGTACAAAAATTGATTACATGCACGAATATGCATGCATGATGCATGATGGGCAAATTCTGTTAAACATACAGAAAAAGCAGAACAATCGTATATCCATATTGCACATAATATAGAACAAATAATAATTAGAACAGGCGATGATAGAGATAGTGATACTGATATACTATGTGAATAATTTTAAGGAATTTAAGTCGGTAATAAAAATAACTTGTAATTTTATTTTAGATTTAAACCTAAATACATACATACATAAATAAATATTGTTTAGTATCTTTCCTAACAAAACCCCAAATAATTAAATTCTAAGCAAAGTACGGACCTGTTCGGCAATATTTCATCCTTACAGCTTGCCCGGGTCTTTCCTTAATTCGTATCAGTTGGTCACTTTCTTATATCTATGAACAGACTTTACTTTGGGTATAGAAATATAGAAAACTTCGACTCGGGGGAAGCGGTTAAATCGTCCGGAACGGGCGGGCTGACGTAGGGCGGCCGAAAATTTCCATTAGCGATGGCTTCCCCCTCCGATCGAACGCAAACGCGTGTTTGAGGGGCCACCGATTCGAGGCGCCATCGTTAATTAAAAGTTTCCGTCGCGATCGTGATTTTAATTATCGCATGGGGGTAAGAAAACCGCCCCCCAAGCGGGCCGGAGGTCCGTAAATACGTGCCGTTCGTTTCGACCGCGTTTTATGTGAAAAATGGCCGCTGACTAGCCAAAATAGTAAACAGTAAATACAAAAGTTGGGAAGGAGTAATTTGAACTATGCTCTTGTAACAGGTTAACCGCTGATACGATTGTTGAACCTTTGGGCATTATATAATAACAATAAACCGTCTCTATTATAACACGACCAAAAATATAGTGCAATTATTGCATGGGCATTTTAAGTATTTTAAAGTACTTTAAATTATTCTGTATTAGGAAGGTCTTGAACTTGAAAATTTTATTTAAAAAGTAAATGGACCGTTTTAAATTTGATTAACATTAAAAGCGTTTAATTTAAGAGTTTAATCTAAATTGCAATATGTTCGTACATATTACGGAGGCATTTTACTGTGATCCTTCCAGTAAGTATGTATTTATGTACCTGATTCTAGGGTTCTGACATGACAATTGTTTCGACAACACCGTGCTTTTATCAAATGTGTTTTAAAGTGGATTTCAGTCCGATAAGTTATGAAAATGCAGGTTTTGACTAAAAGCGAAAAAAATTTATTTGTCACAAAAAGATTGGTTTAAGCTGATGTCTGCAGTTTTGATGCGGTTTTAGGTTAGATATGTGTCGGAGGAGACGATTTTGATTGGAATCTGTTTGAAAACTGGAAGAAAAAGCTACTATTAATCCAAGGAAGTGGGTTTTTAAGTAGTTACCTGCAGTTTTAATGTAGATTTCAGTCCGCTAAGTTATGAAAATGCCTGTTTTGTCTATAATCTACCGTAAATCAAGGGCGAAAACAAACTTTTTGTCCCAAAAAGAGGGGTTTTCAGTACATACCTGCATTTCTAAGGTACATTTGGGTACAATAAGAGGCGAAAAAGCAGATTCTGACTAAGATCTTATCGAAATCGGCAACTACTTGTCTCAGGAACAGGGTTTTACATCGATATCTAAGGTTTGCTTTACTCTAATGCCCGAAGACGCCAACTTTGACTAGGATTTGAAACATATTGACAACAAAAAGTAACTGTTTGGATGAAAAAATGATAGTTTGAGCTGATATCTGCAGTTTTGATGCCGTTTTCGGTTCGATATGTGTGGGAGGAGCCGATTTCGACTGGAATCTGTTTGAAAAATGGAAGAAAACCCTTTTACCAATCCAAGAAAGTGGGTTTTCATGATGTTATCTGCAGTTTTAAAGTGGATTTCAGTCCGATAAGTTATGATTATAAATTATATTATCGGTAGATGAAGGTGCATCATAAGACCGTGGAATGAACTAGATGTTCTCCTGTTAGAATAAGATACGGAAAGGAACCTCGGCAAATAAAAAAACGGATTCATTTTTCTTCTTGTGCTAAAAAAAATTGTTTTGGTTTGTTTGTCTTCAGGGTCTTTTAGATTGTTGTCCACAACTAATCTTGTATATAATCAAAAAATGATTAAATAACAAAAATTAACTATTAACAGGAAGACGTTTATTATTAAATAATATTAAATAACTGTCATCAAAAAATCAAAAAATAAATATGACCTCTTCGATACATGCGTTTGTACGCCGTATTAAGGACTGGCGAACCCTTTCGAAAATACCAGGGGTGTTCCTAACAACTGTACAAGAGTCTGCTATCGGATTTCTTAGATCTTCCTCACTTTGGACTGGTGTTGTGCACACTAAAGTTTTGAAGTGTCCCCAGAGAAAGAAATCTATTGGATTTAAATCAGATGACCTCGTTGGCCAAAAATGCGGCAAAAGGGCTTGGACTCGTTGCATATGGTAAGTGTAAAGTTGTTGATCTTTTAAAATTTGCCATACTAACACATGGCTAACGTTAATTCGGTTGCAAGTGCAATTTTATTTAGAATTTGACAACTGTCATGTTATTGTTATAAACAAATGAATTACTGCCGCTCGGCAAAGCCCACTTTGCCACTTTTTGTTTCTTAAATTTTCCTATTAAGTTGCTGGTTCAATTAAGAAAAAGTACATTTAAAAATGATGTGCTAGTAAGTTTTAATAAATAAACAAAAGCTAAAAAGGACCGCTAATTGGATATCATGAGTGTCGTCGAAAGACAAGTACGGGAGATAAAAAAGACATGACCGGCACTAGTCATAGCATTACCCGTGTCGACTTTCAAAGTTCACGCACCAAATTTACTCCAAACAGAATGGGGATTTTAAAAATAAAGTTAGTTTTCAGAAGAAACAGTGGCGTGCCATTTTTTTCTTTAAAAATATTCAGTTCAAACCACGTACGGACGCCACTGGTAAAAATAAAGCTTTTGCGCCAAAAACCGCCTCTCGATAATAAAAAGATGTTCTCCAAATTTGATAAATATATCGAAAGTGATATAAAAGTTATAAAAGTAAAAACTAATTTTTAGAAAATTTTAACACGTTGATATTGAAAAATATGCATTTTCGTAGCTATGTCGTTCGACAGAGTATTTTTTTTAACACCCTGTATAAGCAGGTACAGGGTAAGATGCGAGCCAGTTTCAGTCAAGTTTCAGCCAACCAAAGAATTTGTTTTTTCAACGTTCCGAGTGGACGATGTTTTTTTCGAAGACCAGTGGCGGCTCGTCCACGTTCAGACGCGTCGTAGTAGCGGCCGATAATAACGGCGCACATTAAGCGAGGCGCCTAATTAACAAGATGTTTGGGTTCGCGGAGTTCGCGATAACGACTTGCGCGCGTCATCGTCGTCGGTCATAACCTCGGGGGTCGCGTAAACAACGCGACGTTGCCAGCGGTGCGTACCGGGCGACCCATTAAAAGGACGCCGGCGAAGTTTCAGATCATGTGTTAAGACATTTCACTTCAAATACTGAAATAATTTCTAATATTCTAATAAAAAAATATCTTTGACGTTTTGGCTCCTTTGAGAACTATAAAAATAAAAATTTAAAAACCAGCATGGTTAACAGATACTGTGGAAGTTCTGATTAAACTGAGAGATAAAGCCTTTAAAAAGTACAAAACAACTGCGAAATCAAACTACTGTAGCAATTAAAGATAACAAGAAAAGATGTGTAGAATCTGTCCCTAATGAAAGTAATAGTAAAGTAAAAGGGTGTTTTTCTTCGATGTAGAGAACTTTAATTTGCAATAAAACAACGATGGATTATTCGATTGACATGAATTTTATTTATCCGAAAGGTAATCTTGTGGCATTACATTTTAAATATGATTTCTGGCATATGGACGTCTGGACGTCTAATTTTCGATGACTTTTTCCAACATTTGTGGCCGTATATCGGCAATAACACGGCGAATGTTGTCTTCCAAATGGTCAAGCGTTTGTGGCTTATCCGTATAGACCAATGACTTTACATAGCCCCACAGAAAGTAGTCTAGCGGTGTTAAATCGCAACATCTTGGAGGCCAATTCACAGGTCCAAAACGTGAAATTAGGCGGTCACCAAACGTGTCGCGCCGTCTTGTTGAAACCACATCTCCCGGACATCATGGTTATTCAATTCAGGAATGAAAGAGTTAGTAATCATAGCTCTATACCGATCACCATTGACTGTAACGTTCTCGCCATCATCGTTTTTGAAGAAGTACGGACGAATGATTCCACCAGCCCATAAAGCGCACCAAACAGTCAGTTTTTCTGGATGTAACGGTGTTTCGACATACGCTGGAGGATTAGCTTCGCTCCAAATGCGGCAGTTTTGTTTGTTGACGTAGCCATTCAACCAGAAATGCGCTTCATCGCTAAACAAAATTCGCTTATGAAAATCGGGAACAACGGCAATCTCGTTTTGGGCCAATTCGACGAATCTACGCCTTACTTGATGATGGTTTGGCTTCCATTCTTGCAAAAAAAGGCAAGAAATGTTCGTGTTTATGCGTAAATATACAAAAGAAAGTTCAAATTCGACAGAAAACAACTAACTGTAGATTGTTTTCCAAATAGAACCTGATTTGATACAAAAAACACGCATAACATTTTATCGTGCGTGAGCGCACCACTGGTAACACCCGGTTTCATTTTTGGTGATATTTTACAAAGCATGAAGTATGTAAATACACATTACACTTATTACAAGCGTAAATTGTGTGGCGTGTGGCTGTGGTAGGCTCTACATCTCAACAATCATGAGGTGACCTTGATTATCATAACGCGCTTTATCTATGGCAGGTGCAAGATTTCTTTGAGTAACTGTTTTATCAGTTTTTAAAAGTCGCAAAGCAATCTAAATTCATCGGATATAAGTGTGTGAGTGTACTCAACCTGAAAGTTCAGTAGTTGATGAATTACAGGACTGTTAACGGACAGCTGTATCATTCGGTGTATGTAACTGGCAAGTTCCAACTGTATCAGTTGGTTCCCGCAACTCTTGTAGATTTATGTTATCGTTCATTTCTTCTTCGTCAGTCAAGGTATCCACGTCGGGTGGAATATAAGTTATTTTTAGGATAAATTTACAAGGAATGGAATGCTACAATACATAAGAATACGTAAATCCAAATAACACTTACGACTTTCATTGTTATTGTCCTCATGCATCACAATCTCCTCCACAGCCGCATCTATTACCTTTCCTTGGAAATGCCATATTTTACGAACTGTAACATTCACTGCACAAGGACAAATTAAAGGCCCCCACAGACGTCTTCTTTTTTAGCAATATTACCCGTACGATTTCACGACGACGTTAGCAGTGGCGGCCGCAGTTGCTATTAAAATAAAATATTCTAAAAAACAACGTTCCAAATGGGTTAAGGAATGGTTACTCAAGAGAAGACAATTTTCACATGTTAATATTTTGAATGAATTGCGACTAGAACCGGGAGATGGCTTGTTATTTATAAAATTGGGTGCCTTTTTGATCGGTAAGTTTATTTTGGAATTTTCAACATTTAATAGAGCCTTTTGTAATACTTACCTCATTGCTAGTTGCTTCGTCACCAATATTAGTAAATGTGCTCCTCGGTGTTTCGTGGTCTGTAAGGAATAATAGATATTCGTAGTACCAAAGGTGCGGTTTATAGATGTCTTCAGTACCGGAACCAGATTTCCTGGATCGAATCTCTTGTTGCCGAGTTATCTACTTCTTGTAACTTTTTTATCATATCTTCGTAAGCTTTTTTTTATCTCTATCAGAATACTCCGTAGATTTAACCTTCCATAGCTTCTATACAGTTCTATGAAGTCAATTATAAATTGCTTGTTGTAATTTGTGCTAAAAACTACAGCAATGTATTTTTATTCAACAATACAATTTTCAAATCACTACTCAAAACTGGCACTAATTATTGCTGTGTGAAATAAGTGAGTCGACACTGATAAAAACTGTCCTTAACTGTTTTGCCACCACACACTGACAGACTTGAACGAACGCGTTTAAAAAAAGGATAGTTTTTGGCCACACACTGACCAACCTATCCGCACCGTTTTAACCGTGCGGGTAAAATCGCTAAAAAAGAACGACGTGCGTGGGGGCCTTTATATTAAAGAACACGCTAATCGTTGGATGTTTATTCTACATGCGCTGACTTGCAACAACAAACTTTTGTTTCACATATAAAACCAGTGGTGCATTCACGTACCAGTAAATATTTTCAAAAAACAAAGCATAATCAATATAGTATTTCCAATGTATGTTTTCCGCGATGTAATCTACATGCTACGGATTTAACAAAAATGGCAATACAAATCCAAAACATTTTTTTTTTGCTAGTTTTGATTTACTTGAAAATGTGATACAAATTTATGTACCGCTTTTGTTAACTTTTGAAGATCTTTCCTTTACACATAAATTAGTGACTTCCTTTAGTAGTAAAAAAAAAAACATGCATTAACGCAAAATTGGGACAAAATGGGTTAGGGTTTTAGTTAATTTTTTTTCTTATACATTTGTTTATTCAAATTTGTTACCTTGGTATTTGATATTTTCAGTTTTATAAAATCTGTATTGTTAGCAATATCGGTGTCTGAATAAAAATATATCTCCTTAGTCGATCAAAATGCGAAAAAGAAACACATAACCTCAATTTCTGGAAAAACTGAATAGGAATTTCTTAAGAAAGTGACCTTTATTTTGACGAGGGATTCAAAAAATTGCGATATATACAGGGCGTCCCATTTGACGTCGCAGGGGACTCTTTTGGGACACCCTGTATCAACAAAATTTTAATATTTTAAATCTTTCTGACTGTTGCTATAGTCCACCGTCACACCGTATTGGCTCCGACTGGAGTTGGTCAAATGGAGGACTACCGAAATAAAGAGGTATTTTCGGGAGCCGCCAAGCCACACCATCGATTTCCGCGCGCCGCTGGGCTTTAAGCCCGTTTCGTCGAGGGAAGAAAAAAAAACGCGATCGATCGGGAACGCGGGGGACAAGGAGGAGGACGCTGCTCACCTCTGTCGTCGCCGTCGGCACGCGAATCTCTCTGGTTCAATAACCGCGGCTGAGAAAACGCGGACGAGATCCGCCGCCTACTTGTGGCGGAGATAAGTTCTTCCCGTCGTCCGGTGCACTCGATTTAACGCGTCTAACAACTCGCCTACTTCGACTAAATATACGCCCTGACCAACGCGCGCGATACCGATCGCAGAGTGCCGTGCGAAGAGACGAGAGTGCGCGGCGGCTGCTGTGCTGCTGCTGCCGCCTGTCCGTATCGCCTCGTATCGATTTCTGTGCGCGACGAGCCTGCGAGAGGAACGCGCGCCCCGCGATATCTCCCTCCCCCCTCGGCGAAGACGTAAAACCGCCACCGACCGACTTCGGCCCGATTCGCGCCAGGGGCGGCGCGAGATTAATGACAACCGGAACGCCGCTGTTTTTTTTTATTTTCAAAAAATCCGACGTTACCCGTGAGCGGAATATACAGTACAGGAACCCATGAAGCACCCAGATAGCACACAACGTCCCCAGTATATCAGGTCAGTGTCGAAGATATTCTCAGGATATGCGATATACTAATTTTTTTTTCTTAAAATGGATGCAAGAATCAGCCCCCAAAAACAAAGTATTAATTTTAGGAATCACCCTGCCGTAAAGTACAATTTTCACATTAAAATGGTTTATATAAGCATTTATATAAAAGGCGGATGTAGGGACTTTTTAAGTCCGTTCTTTTTATTTTATTTTTATAAAGTACCTGTCTTTCTCAATACTAAAATATTTTCAGATTCGGATAAGAAGGCAAACACAACACAAACATCAAAATAATGTGAGAATTCAATAGCTGCTTGGCTGAAAAGAGCCACTTTCAAAACCTACTTATCCTTTTAGAGTTTAATTCAAGATATAATATCTTACTCTATATTTAAGATACTTTAGGTTAGGTTGTTCTATATTTTTGCTATATTATATACCTACAATTTTTTCATATTTACAATATAAAAAAATCAGATATGTATAAAATCTGTTTTATTAATAGAAAAAGCTTGTGCATTTCAATTATCCTCTGCTGCGTATCTGATATACTGTGGACGTTGCAATTAGTAACATCGTATATCCTTGAGACGTCTTAAGGATGGCCCTTAGCTGAAACAGTATATCCATAGGATATACGATGTGTCCCGTCAGATATTCCGAGGAAGTTTTACGGACGTCCTTGTGCTATTTGGGTAGTTGTAGTGTAGTGTAGTGAGTTGGTACGCCATCTTGTTGGAAATGGTGCTTGCGAGGTCAATAATCGCCGCCAAGCCGTTATTGTGCTATCGTAAAAATATACTACTTTACTATTGCTTTAACTGACTACTTTACAACTTTACTACTGCTTTGATATCAACCGTAATTTTCACCAAAATAATTTAATACGGCTCTGCGTTTTGTTTCCTCAATCGTCACTCTTTGTGTGTGTATTGTGTGCTTAAACGCTGCCCGCCAATTGTCAAAACATCGTCGACATCCCACTCTCACAGAGTTCAAAATAGTTGCCGTGTGATCGGCATGTGTTTGCACCGCGTTATATATGGAAAAACTCTCACGCCGCACAAAATATAAAACCGCCACGCTCCATTAACCTCTTCAAAGTTGGTCCGCGTTACGTTTACCCAATTTCCACTAACTCCTCGGTGAGAATTAATTACTCCCATGTCATCAATCATCTTCGCGCAGTGACGATTTTCCTTAGAAGTGCCGTTGGCGCCATCTGCTAGCGGGTAGCGCAACCTAACAAATATTTTTCTTTTTCTGTTCTGTTTGTTCTGTTCTGTGATACAATATTCACATATATCATGTGCAGTTATTAATTAGAAAACATTCATGTCTCTGAAATTTTCACGAAGACGTGAAGCGCTAAAACATGAGTCAACACATTAAGGGAGCTATGCATCTGGTTGCATGGCGTTCATTGTGCCAAATATGCGTGAAAGGTTGTTGAAAACACGTTTCAATTGCTTTATATTATTTCAATGTTCGAAATGTAACACACATATGGTAGAATAGGTAAAAATGAGTGTATAGGTGTTCAATACATTAGGAGAAAGTTTATTTATATGTCGTTTAGAAACTTTAGAAAAACTTTCATGGCCTGCGGAGATATTTGGAAAAAACGGGAATTTGACAATACGGATTTTAGTCTTTTCTGATGGGATTTTTAAATTTTATGACAGACGTTTCGTCATCAACTTTATTTTTTTGTATATGTACACGTTTCAATTGCTTAGATAAAAATGAGTGTATAGATATTTAAAACATTAGGAGAAAGTTAGAATAATTTTCATGGCCTGCTGAGATGTTTGGGAAAAACGGGAATTTGACAATACCGATTTTAGTTTTTTCTGATGGTGGAAAAAAAAGTGCAAATTTGTTTTATTTTGGGCGTATGTGTGATGTTTATGGGAATCTTTTAGTTTCCTCAATAGCATTTTAGTAACCTTTAGATGTTTTCAAAGAGGTGAAAAGCACAACTTTTTGCTAATCGGAGTCGAGCTGTCTCTGCGACGATCTTGGACACACTGTATATGAAGTGAGGAAAAAAACACGAGCGTTTGGGTTAAAGCTGGTTTATTTCGAAAATAAATAAGAACTCTGGTAACAATATTGCTTTCTGCCTCGGCTTTGAACGGGTTTCGCGGTCAGCGGCGCACGCGTGGTCGCGCTATCGGCCGCCAGGCGGCGCCGCCGACCTTTCAGCTGTGCCGCTAATATATCACTACGCTATCAACGTTTTAAATATTTCATAATCAACAACACTATAATTAGGATGTAATATAGAAAAATCTGGACAGCGTCGCACCTAGTGCTACATGTTCCGACTCGCGTGCGGGCTGCACGGAAAACAACGGCCGTCTGATATGTGGTCTGTGCCCGAAAAACAAAAATTCAAGGGCGGACCAAATTAGACTCCACGCCGAAAATTTACCGACAATTTAATTAAGAGATGATTCATAATTGACTTCTTATGCATTTAATGCACTTAATAAATAATGAAATTGATTTGTAACTTGGCAAAATCTGTTTTACCCCTTATAGTTCTTAATATTTTCATTTCAACTGTTCTCGTCATTTGTAGAGTTCTGTTTGTATCTACTCCTGAATTGAATATATATGGACTGAGCGAATCGCCTTATCTAATTCCTCTTTTTATATTTCTATCTTCAGTTGTCGTATGTCCAACTTTGATTTTTGTTCTACATTGGGTGTTTATATCGTGTATTATTTTTTAAACCTTCCATTCTCATGATTTCTAGGATCATATCGACAAAGCGCATATAAACATGTTTATTGAATTCTAACGACTTTTTAGAGACTTGAGTGTGTTTTCTATATAGATTATATAGATTTTTTCAATTTATTTTTCACTGTTCAGGTGTTATTTTATAAGTTTGTACGGTACGTTTGACTTCAAGCTTGCTTCTTCTTAACATCCCCCATATTTCCATTTCTTTGGTGAATTTTTCCCAGTGGTTTTCTTTTAGTCCTTTTATTCTTGCGTTTACCTCGTTTCGTCTTCTTCGAACGTTGTTTCAGTTTTCTGGTGTTTTGTTTCGTATATATTTAATGTACCTTTTTTCTTTTGTTATGCTGTACCCGTCTTTTTCCCACTGCTTCAATGGCGTCGTTTTTTATTCTTATCGGTTGTTGGTCTATACAATCTTAAACATTGATTGGATTGTGTATTAATTAAAGTAGGTGGTGAAGGTGAAGTTCCGTACGGTACGTTTCGTCTTTTTTAGACAGGGAAGTTTCCCTTTAATTCGGCCCGCCCTGCACAAAGTGACCCTAACTCACTAGTAATTGATGGACATTATTGCGAAAAATCTTAACTGCTAAAGTTGCCGCCGTCTCGTCTAATTGAGGACCTGGATCCTTACATTCGGCGTCCCATTTGAGCTGAAATCCTAACCTATCCGCTACAATGGTAATATGTACTTTTGATTGCGCACGTTTCCGACCCTGGCGCCCCCACAAAATGCACGAGTGACGTCAGAGTTGCACGACTCACCCCGTACAGGGTGACAAACCACGGAAAAAAAACGTACAACTAAAGCGACCAAAAGGCGACCCTGGAAATGACGTTCGAGTTCATATTTATGCAGCTAGGGGGTGCTATAGATAGTCGTAAATGCGAGAGGTTGGCGTATGTGCATGACTATTATGTTTGTTATTACTACCTTCCTAACCAGACCACATATCTTTTCATTTCAGTCATTCTATAACGTCTCCCATTAAATCCACTATTCCCTTTTGGTCACTTTGGTCACTTGTCTACGCTGTAGTTGCCTCTGCGGCGCGACAGTACAAAAATAAAAAAATCCCGCAATGGGGCGCTATAACAAGTCGACGTCGTCCTCCTTGAGGGCAAGGGGCACCTGGACGCGGCTCGCGGTCCCCCTCCTTCTCAGCGGCGACACCGGCGGACTCGTCTGCGGCGTCGACGGCGCCGTCAGCGTTCCCTGGCCACTGAGATCCGCCCTCGAGCCGGACCTGGACGGCGGCGCGGAACCTGCGAACCGCCCCCTTGCATAACAAATCCCGCATATCAAAATTTCTAAAGAAATACAACGTTAAATCCAGATTTACCACTTGTCCACAAGTCTCTCAACCTCTTCGGTCCGTCAAAGACAAAATTCCATTTGAGATGCCAGGAGTTTAACTCATGGTCAAGAATCCCTAGTATACACTCTAACATACGTTCGACCTTTGAATTACAAACTAACATGCACACAGTGCATTGTCTTCTTTACTTCACTAACTCACTTCAGCACAACCTTCTAATAGCAATCAGGCGAAAGCAATCCCACACTTGCCGCCCCATTAAAAATATCACTGACCACATAACAAAAGTTCTAAAGAAATATAACGTCAGAACCAGATTTACCACTTTTCCAAAAATCTGTCCACATCTTCGATGTGTCCATTTGAGATACCAGGAGTTTGCAGCATTGCAACTAGGCTCAAAGAACATGAAAGCGCTCTAAGACTAAGACAAAGAAACTCATCTGCAGTGGTCGAACATAGTCACGTGTGATCAATTCTTCTACCAATGAAAAATCCGAGAGTCTCTAGAAATATATAAGCAACCAAACAATCTTAACCGCGACTCAGGTCTTTACCAATATGGGAATTGGTCATCCGAGACTACGTTTATAAATAAGCAGCTACGTAGTAAAATGCAGTCAAGCTCTGAAGAAGCCAACAGGACAGCAAGTTCGAGTCAAGAAATACCGACGCAAGAGGAATCCAGAAGAGTTTTGTAAAAAGTAACAAATGCCCCCCTCGATGACGACCCCCACGTACCCGTGTAGCTACGTAATCCCGCTGGTCCCGACCTGGGTCTATGACTAGCTCCCACACTGCTAGCGCTACCGGTGCTGCTGGTGCTCGGACTCCTCCGCATCTCGGACTGCGTCCTCGCGTTGCTTCGGCGTCGCGACGGCTTCTTCGGAATGGCGGACCTGCACACACCCGTAGGACAAGTTTCACCTAAGGCACATCTTCCCTCGCATATGGTCCTCGACTGCAGCAACTCCTCGTAGTTGTTGAGCATGAGCGCACATTGCTCCTGGTCGGAGTAGATGAGCGCGAGGCTCGGGTAGCGCTCCTTCAGGCGCCTGCGTTCCTGCGGACCCGCGTATGGCGTGTTTCAAATTACAGCGAAAGCTCCCATAATGGGTTTTACTAATTTTGATCGCTCACGAATAAATATAAATAGATATAATATGTACACACATACACGCACTGACTCTCCTAAAGATTTTTGACTTATATTTTCACCACTTCGTCAAGATACATAAAAAGTTTCTCTAGCGGCTTAACTGAATATAGGGCCCGTTGGTGGTGGTCCCAAATCAGCTTCTTCCTCTTGGTGCTCCTCTTGCTTGTTGTAATATGGCTTCCTCTGTCAAGTCTGTTGTTGTAGGCAAATCCTGATCAATCACCATAAAATCTTGTTGTTTGACACCGCTTTATCCACTCGCTTAGTGTCTGATTATATTCCAAGTCCAGTTCGCATTCTGTCCCGGTAATAAGTCCTGCATGACGATAGGGGTGTTGAATTGTTCCTGCTGTAACCTCTTTTCAAGTTTTACTAATAAAGTTGACGGCATCTAGCATATTAATGGAAATTACAATAAGGAAGAAAGGGTGAGGAAGAGTAGTAAGAGGAAGAAGAAGATGAAGAAGTTGATCTGGGACGACCACCAACTATTAAACAAGCCCTATATTCAGTTAAGCTGCTAGAGAAATTTTGTATCATGGGGAAGATGTTCTTCTCGAAGAAATGGTGAAAATTCGCGAATTTAAAAAAATGTCGACTGTCAAACAATCGCCTTGACAATAGACTTAATAATTGTTACAGACACAGCACACACTCCTGATACATAACACCCCGAAAATTGCCCTCTTAATTATTAACATTCGATAAGAAAACACCTTGTATAGCCAAGACATACGGATCGTTCTCGGTTACGTCACCGTAGTGCTCTGTATGTTCTGAGCCACGCCGTACCTCGAGCAGGCCCTTGCACTCGAACTCCTCCAGCTGCTTCTGAAAGCCGAGGTTGGGGTTGGCGACAGACCTCCCCGCCCTCACCACCTTGAGCGCTTCCTTCCAGTTCAGCGTTGTGACGGACATGATGTAGGCGACGGCGACGGTGACGCTGCGCGACATACCGGCCAAGCAATGGATCAGCACGTTGCCGTCCCTGAGACGCGCGGCATGTATGAAATCGTTACAGAGCGGGAAATACTGCGTGAGGTTCTGGTCAGGCGTGTCGGACGCCATCACGCACAGATAGTGCTTGTCCTGCAACCGAGAGGTCAGGACGCGTCGCACGGAACGCACTCTACCCGCTCACAGAGTGTATTCTCCTCGCAGTGTCGTGGATCGCCAGGATGTGCGTGATGTTGTGTTTGGCGAGCTGGGACGCGTCTTTCGAGTCCCGATAGTTGCCGACGTAAAGGCCTGGCAACACCTGGAGACACGAAACGCGCTTTAAAATGTCCCGAAAATGTGCACGAATATCGTCCGGACCAAACAAACGTTTTTTTTTCGCAAATGTCCGCGAGGTAAACGCAGGAACTCTGGAAGCATCGAAACGTTAGACTAAACTGCATGTACAAGGTGTCCCGAAATTGATTGAAATTGAAGCTATCTTCGTTAATTACCTACTTCCGGTGTTGCAAATATGTGTAAATACATTCTTATTGGAACTTTTTGGGCATAAGAAGTATCAGTCACTTAAAAAATCGTCACTATCGCTACTGGATGATCAACTCCGCCACTAAACGTGCTCGATAAATATTTTCTTCTTTTACTACTCGTTTTTCACAGTTAGGCCAGCTTTGTACTGTACTTTGATACGGGGGTAATGTCAAGATTCCATGTCCGTTTTCTTGGGCTATCGAATCGATTTTGTACAATGTTTTATTTTTAATAATTCCAGAAGTTGTTTTCTCGTGTAGCTCTCTTCAAAATATCAAAATATTTGAAGAAGTGTTTGGGCTGTATGTGGCGATAGTTTTAGCAACAATTTATTTTAAAACCAGTGGTCAAATGTATGACGTTTTTGGCAAACAAAAATAATGCATCTTCCACCCACCCATTTTTGGACCCAGCATGAAGAATTTTTATGCGTTTTTCGTGTGAGGGCGGCACGTCTAGCACACATGTTATTGTTATCACACCATCCTTTTTTACTGTGTCGAACCACTTTTCGTCTAAACACCCTATTGGCCTACTTTGATCTCGAAATGTAAAACGGTACATTTACGTTTCAAATAAAATACAATTTCAAATAAATTACATTTTTTGGGAAAGCTGGAAAACCGTGTCTCCTTTGTAGCCAATTACAAAATTTTAGTTGCCTTTCCGCATCACGTGTCATTTCTATATAAAGACATAAAAAAACGGAAGTAACAAAAATTTTAGCTTTTTTCTAATTTATTAAAACTTGCTACTACATCATCATTTTTAAATGTACTTGTTTTAATGAAACTAGCAATTTTGAAAATTTAAGAAACAAACTGCAATTTAATCGACAATTTACTAATCAAAAAAACCTAAAGTGCTTTGCTAAGCAACTGTAATTCTTTTGTTTATAACAATGACATGACAGTTGTCAAATTCCTAAATAAAATTGCACTTGGTTGGTTTGCTGGAGGTCTACTGCTCTTATAGAAAGACCAAGAATAGTAACAACGGTTCAGATAGAGGAAGCTGTCATAAATTCTAGTTAAGAGAACCCAGAAACTAGCACCAGAAAAATTGCAACAAAATTAAACGTTGCACATGTAATTGGTGTTTTTTTCGATGTATAGAACTTTAAGTTGGCATTACTGTTCAAGATGGCGACCGATTTAACAGCTGTCAAGTGATTTATTCTCAGTTTGGTTAGTTAGACTCACCCCTGAACAACGCTTGCAAATAGTGCAATTTTATTTCGAAAATAATGGTTTTATGCGGAATACGTATCGCGCACTACGTCCAGAGCAGTTAATTCGATTAACCGTGGAACGTTTTCGTACCACGTTTACTCTTATTGATAACTCGCATCCCAGAGACGCCGTACGGTGCGTATAGAAGAAGCTATTGCTGCTGTAGAGCGTAGCATCAAGGAAGACCCGAATGAGTCCATCCGCCATCGAGCACAGGAATTGGATCTGTGTCCATCCACTTTATGGAAGATTTTGCGGAAGGATCTTGGTTTAACTGCTTACAAAATCCAACTCGTGCAAAAATTGAAGCCAAACGATCATCAAGTAAGGCGTAGATTCGTCGAATGGGCACAAAACGGGATTGTCGTTGTTCCCGATTTTCATAAGCGAATTTTGTTTAGCGATGAAGCGCATTTCTGGTTGAATGGCTACGTCAACAAACAAAACTGCCGCATTTGGAGCGAAGCTGATCCTCAAGTGTATGTCGAAACACCGTTACGTCCAGAAAAACTAACTGTTTGGTGCGCTTTATGGGCTGGTGGAAGCATTGGTCCGTACTTCTTCAAAAACGATGATGGCCAGAACGTTACAGTCAATGGTGATCGGTATAGAGCTATGATTACTAACTCCTTCATTCCTGAATTGAATAACCATGATGTCCAGGAGATGTGGTTTCAACAAGAAGGCGCGACATGTCATACAGCTCCTGCCACAAATGTTGGAAAAAGTCATCGAAAATTGGACGTCCAGATTGGACTACATCCGCGCCAGCCGTGGCGATCATATGCCAGAAATGATCCATCGCTGTTTTATTACAACTTAAAGTTCTATACATCGAGAAAAAACACCCCTTATTACTATGGCAAATTTCCATAGATCAACAACTTTTGCCAAGGGATGTTTCGCTAAGAGTGGCTTTGTGCATTTTCAAGAACAATTTTCGGTAAATGTTTGGATTGGAGTTATAGGGGATTTCCTTATCGGGCCTCAGTTTCTGCTTGGCAGACTTACTGGTGATCAGTGCAGACATGTATTACCTGAACTTTTCTAGGATGTCCGGCTAGAACAAAGACGTTCTATGTGGTTTATGCATGACGGAGCTCCACCGCACTTCAGTATTTAGATGAAAATTATACTGATCGCTGGAACGGGCGTGCTGGACCACATTTTTGGCCACCGAGATCGCCTGATTTAAATCCAATAGATTTCTTTCTCTGGGGACACAGACATAAGACTTGTACAGTTATTAGGAACACCCCTGACATCGCCAGTCCCTAATAAGGCGTACAAACGCATGTATCGAAGTCGGGGGAGGTTATTTCCAGCATTTGCTCTAATTTATTTTTTTCTGGGAGAGTATTGTTTGTAAAAATAGTTACCTTTTGTATACAGATGTTTAATATTATTTAATTAATAAACGTCTTCCTGTTAGTAGTTAATTTTTTGTACTTTTTCGTACTTTTTTAACACCCTGTATATAAATATAAGGATAGAGGCCTAATCTCTTGCTGATGGTCATACTAAGACGTATTGCCGACAAATATTCAGATGTGTCAAATGGAAAAGGAAGTATGATCGGGTCAATATCAAGAAATATTACACACCGAACTCAGATAAGTTTAGACTTAGGATAACAGAGACAAACAAATTCTAGATGTGGGTTAATTTTTAATGGAGATCGCTCAATTGAATCACACACTCACATTCTTTCTATTCGCTACAAATGCTTATTGCAGATTGCTGACCCTACTAGAAGGCAAAATAAAAGGACCTATGATTTATATGAGTACTTATGATGGCCTACGTCTAAAGCTGGTACTTCGAACAAGCCTCCCTCCATTACTCCAAGAGTGTTGTGAATGTTGGAGGCTTTAGCGTTAACGTTAATTTCTGAACATCCTGTACACGACGTTCATAGTTAGACTCAGTAAGAGAAAACAGTTCGTTTTATTTACACCCACATTTAATTGGTCCAAACTGTACCGTGACGTAACCAAATAATGAAGCTGTGAAAACGTAAAATATTGAGGCGACAACGCTGCAGTCTGCAACGTTTCGTCGGTTAACTAGATTTGGGCAAAGAATGTGACTTTTGAATAGTCGTGCATCGGTGATATACAGTGTGTCCCGCTTAGGAACTGTACACCCCCGTAACGTCTGTGCTTGTCGTTCGATTTTGATATATCTCTTTTTGTTGGATACGCCTAATTAAAAAGGAAGTAAAGTTCGCCAAACGATATACCGTTTTTACTAGCTTTTATGATTTTGACTTTCAGCCAGGCTCGTATTGAAGGTTTTTTTTTCTATTATTAAACTGTTATATTAATTCATATTAGTCTTCTTTTTATAAATACAGAATAATGTAATTAGTGATAACCAACTTTAATTGTTTTTCAAGACTCGGCGTGCTATTTTTATCGATGTACCATGTACATTTTATTACACTTTATTTCTTATCAAATCCTAACATTATTCAATTTTGTTAGTCACTTGCGATATCCAGCGACGAAGAAGTTGAGATTGTGATCGACGACGTCAAATTCAAATGGACCGAAAAGTCCATGGCGTCGAAGAAAGAAAAACGCAAAAAGAACAGTAGAATATTGTTTTAACAATTAACACAGTGCATGAAGAGAAAATTAGGTTTTTATTACAAAGCCATCAATAAGAGACCAGTTTTTATGGAATGGATGGAGAGAAATGCAAGAAATTCGTGCTGAAAATCTTTTTTTTTTTGCTTGAAAGTCAAAGTGCCGGAAATAATTATCAATGAAAGGGACGAGTCCAGTGACGATAGTGATGATTTTGATGCGGACCAACTTTTTATAAACGTTCTAACATTAACATTAATTGAAAGGAATTGAAAGGAATATTTTGCTGGAGAATATCTAGCCAACCAGAAGTTTTATAAAAAGTAATTTTAAGGTTCATTTCCAACAATTACTTGTTAATTTTAAGCAAACCTGCACACGAATCTGTTGAAAGTGCTCTACTTCCTCTCCATCCGACAAAAAAAATCAAAAAGTAAACCAAGTTTTTACAAGGGTGCGCAGTTCTTAAGCAGGACACACTGTATAATAATAATAACAAGTTAAATCAAAGCAGTGACGTGGTCTCCGCGTGCTTGCTCGAATTCAAATGTGTTTTGTGAGCTTTAACTTGGGATTCGACTTGCCTTACTCATTCCCTCATTCATTGTCTGAAACACGAATTCGTCATTTTCCAACGGGAATGTTTCGAATTAAAACATAAATCGACAACTTTGATTCCAAGTAATTAATAATTTATAATTAATGAACGACAACGGCGCGAAAGTTACAAGGCCGCGATTTAACCGCGCGGGTCACGCGAATAGCAAATATACAGTGTTAAGTTACGCATTTAAAACACATATAGGCACCTTTTGGTCGGCTTCGGCAAAAATGTTCGCCAAACCATCTACGTCACTAATGCGATGCTCTGGGGGTGATTTTCAGCGGGAAGGGTGTGAAAACTTGCCTTGTTCATGCCGTTCCCCATGGCCGGGGTTTGGCGCGGGCACGGCCGCTTCCGAAGGGGCGCCGCACAACCCTCACCGATGACCCGTGCACGACTAGAAAACGAGGCGCGCCACGGGGATGGTTTCTACGCCGCGGCATTGCCGCGTCCGCTTTAGCCGCGAAATTGGCGTGTGAACGGCTTTCCGCCGTCGCGGTCGACGACGACGTGGCAACGTCGCCGCAACAACGGAAGCGTCGCTGGCTCGGGAGGTCGATACGCGCTTGGTTCGGTTCGCCATCGTAAAAGTTGTTTTGAACGATTTCGTGAGCCGGTTTGTGCTTCCGCGGGCGCCGCTACCGTCCCCGGTTCGACTTTGATTAAAGGAAATTGCGGCACTAAAGCTCGTTTGGCGACCTCTATGGCAGATTGAATAAAACGCCGGGGTTACTTTGGCTCTTAGCACTGGCCCGAGCAATTAAAAACTGGGTCGAATAAGAGATGGCGCAGGCGACGTGATTAAGCTCATTTTGCATTCCTTTGGTACTTTTAGTATTTACTTAGCTATTTGTGAAAAGTGACTGCGTGAATTAAATAAAGCATGGTGTGTGACAGTGGAAGAAATTTACAGGATATGTGCAAGTGATATGTTATCGCAACAACGTTGCGTTGAATTATTCATCGGATTTACTATTTGGTTTAACTTGTGGGAAGAAAGTAGTGCTTAATAATGTTTACATTTCGTCGTAATACAAATGTTTTGATAAGTTTTTTTTTTATTCCATAGATCATGGTATCGTGGGTAAGATTTTACATTCTCTTTAGCGGGATTCCAAAACACCCGAGGCGCCACCTCGCGGTGAAATTTCAAACCATTCACTGGGGCATTAAAAGATAATCGATTTAGTAACATTTGAGTGGGTGCTTGGCGACTTTTGGACTTAATAAACCATTGTTCATTGTTTATTTTGCATAAAACACTTCTGCTATTTTCTCCAAAAACGAAAATCATCACTGAAAATCATTTAAAATAATTGAATTTTATACACGAATTGCCCGAATTTTCACTTGCCAACTCGAAATTAACAAATTTCACAAAAACAAGGCGTGTATTTCTGAAGATCCTTATTTTGTCCTTGTGGTTTCTTTTACATCGTAGACAGCGATTGAAACAAAAATTGCAATTGAAATCTGGTAAATATGTTGTTTTTTGATTCTGCTCTTGGCCAAAATACTCAGGATCATTGGGCCATACACTTACCTGAGAGGATACCTTAATAAAAGACAATGGAAAAAGTTCGCTGACTAAAACTTGCATATAAGGGGATAGAATTTTTCCTACGTAAAGGGCACTCAAATAGTACATGACAGATCTCCTACTTCCTCACATTTACAATTTCTTGCTTCCCTGACTTCTATTCTTGCTAAACGAACTATACAGCCACAATTAACTCGAGTCCTTGAAATCTAATTAACGCCCTACACCAATTCAGCACCTTTAATTGGAATGGCTTAGGTAAAGAAGGAGCCTGTAACATTTTGCCCGCATCTTAATATAATAAATGGGTACAACACGAGATGTCACTTTGTCGATGTTATATTTCGTTTTGGTTTAGTCTGTGGTGTGCGATAAAATCTGCGGCCCGTTTCGCGCTTAAATTTGCCTTTGCAGGTTAAGCGCTCTCAGAATCCATTTTGTCCGTGTTTTGTGAGGCTCGAGATAGATGTTTTAGTGTAAAGTGTGACATTTTTTGTCGGTGCTCGTCGAGTTAGCGATGGAACTCGATGAATCTGACGGGGAAGCTGACGCCCCGGAAGTCGGTCAAGTCAATCCCGTACCGAACGGCGACGTCGACGACGACGACGACGACGACGGATCGACTTGCCCCATCTGCCTCGACCGGTGGACCAACGGCGGCGACCACAAGATATGCGCGCTGAAATGCGGTCACGTTTTCGGGTACGAACCCGCCATAAGGCGCACCGCGTCCCAGCATAGCTTTTATGTCGTTTAGGTACAAGTGTGTGGTTCGCTGGCTCGACTCGCAGCCGAAAAAGACCTGCCCGACGTGCATGACCAAAGCGCGTTATTCTGATCTGAGGTTCATCTATGCGAAAAAACTCGTCGCGGTCGACACCGTCGAACTGGAGTCGTTAAAGGAACGCCTGTCCGAGACGCTCAACGAAAACGGCCGCATGTCGCAAGAGATATCCCGGTACGTTTCCAGGGAGCGCGTTCTCCTCCAGGACATCGAGCAGATAAAAAACAAAGTCCAACGTCAAGGTGAGTGCAAGGTGGCCGAGCAGAGGACGGGCGGCCCCTGTTCCGCGCAGCGCGTCCGTCTCTACATGGACAAGAGCTTGGAGGTGTGCCAGGTGGCGGAGTGCCGCAAGTGCCGCGTCTTCGACATCTGCCCCGCCGGGAATACCCTGGTCGTGTCATCGAAAGGCACGACGGGCCTCTTCAGGGGTTTCGGCTTGCGAAAAATGAACCTGGGCTCGTACAAGACCACGCAGTTTTTGCATCTCCACACCGAGGCGATCAAGGACGCGTGCTTCCACCCGACCAAGCCCTGGGTCCTCACCGCCTCCTCCGATAAGAAGGTCAAGGTCACCGATATGGCCCACAACCGGGTCACCCATACCTTGGCCCTGGACACGGGGGCGTGGTCGTGCGCGTGGGACCCCGCGCGCGAGCACCGCTGCGTCGTGGGGACGCAGACGGGAAGCGTACATGTCTACGACCTGCGAACCGTGGCCTCGCCCCTCGCCACCGTCTCCGTCGAAGGCGACTTCGCCCCCGTCGTGGCCGTCGCCGCCGTTAGGGGCGCCTCCACCGACTGCCCCGATCTCGTGCTATGCTGTAAACTGAACACGTTCTGGGCGTTCGAGACGCAAGGTGAGTTGTCTGGACGTTTATGCTACTAAATTTCCGCGAGTACGTTTGAACTACCCAAAGAACTTCCCGGTACGTTTGAATTACTCGACGTTGAACTTATAACCAGTATGGCTACATTTGAACTACTACCAGTGCCTTGGGTACGTTTGTACTACTAAATGTGGCCTTCGGTACGTTTGAACTACCAAAAGGCAATTGGTACTTTCAAGCTACGAAAAGTGATATCTTGATATTTGAACGACCAACGTGGCGTTTGAACTACCGTAACGGCGGGCTGTTGCAGAGGACGTCAGCTTTAAGAGGCACCTGTTGCCGTTGGACGGGCCGTTCCTCAGCGCCCGGTATGACGACAAGTCGCGCCATCTCTTGGTGAGCGCGCGTCCCAACAACCAGAGCGCTTACGCGCGCCACACCCTCTGCACCCTGGAGCGGACGGTCGAGCCGGACGCGATAGGCGCGAACGTGGTGCACGCGTTCCGGGGCGGCAACGCTTCCCCCTACCTGTCGAAGCCGTCGTGCTTCGCGCCCGGCGACCTCGTCGCCAGTTACCACACCACGAGGCGCAGCGTGGTGCTCAACAGCGTCAACACCGGCTCGGAGGTGTGTTCGGTGCCCGCACGCACCCCGGTGCTGGACGTCGGGGCCTGCGAGACTCCCCACGGCAAGCTCCTCGTCACGCTCAACGAGAGCAAGCTCGATTTTTTTAAATACACCGCGTGATCGTTTTTTACTAATTAAGTATACCCCGTTTTTATTTTTTAAATCGGTTTTTTTTTTGTTCATTGTTTAATTGGAGATATATATTTTTTCCTACTCGGAACGGTGCGTTTCATATTTACCCGCGCGGAGCCAATGATAGGGGCAGCTTTGGCCAACTTGATGTCAAACCTTAAAGAAGAAGAAGATGGTGGATTCTGTCGTGAGCATCCCGTGAGAATCCCACGTATTCGTCCCCAAAAAACTTGAAATTGGTTTCCACTGTTTAATCTTTGCCGGCCCCGCTGTTTTTGTTCCATCCACGCCGGTTGGTGGCCGGATGGTCCGCGGGGAGGTTGTTTTTTGTTGGTCAAAGTCATTTATTGCAAGTTGAGAAAAAATGTGGGAAATGGTTTTTTGTTAACTGTTGTTCCGTGACAACAAAAAATATCGGCGAACGTCGGTAATAGGCGAATGGCCATAGTAGCCTTGGCCAACTGTTTGAGAAAAACGAAGAAGAAACACGGTTTGTACTTTTATTTGCAAATATAAATTTCTGACAGCAGCGATTTAAAAGAAAAAAAATTCAGTAATTTTGGTTGTCCGCTCCACATAATGATGTTCCAATTTAAAAGGGTTTTATTACACAAGAATAAAAAGAATAAAATTTTAATGTTGGGATATATTCCATAGTTTTCCGGAATTAAAAGTCAATCACTTGAGGAGGACTTAAAGCGTCTTGTCCAGCTCGGGGTTGTTAGGTGATTTGCATTGATAACTTGCTGGTATCTAAAGTGCCCTTCGCGACATAACTGTCAAAACCAATAATTCAACAGTAGAATTTTTCCCAGCTTTACAACGCTGTTCATTTTAACCATCTTTAACACGAAATTATTTTTCACAAAACGGGAACAAAAGTTCAAGAAATTCGAGTCTCTAGGAGTCCCTAATTGTTCACGGGTACTTATAAAATGTTTTACTGCTCTGCTCCGAATCGTGTATCCAAATCCAGTCGCCATTTCACTATAAGCAAGCACGATGTTTTTTTATTAATAAATCTTCCGACTGTCTTATTTACTGCATTTATTTTTACCCGGCGAATCTATAAAAAAAGTTAGCCGATTCTAAAAAATGCCAGCTTACCTGATCTTCAAACAGCGCCACCTAGCAAAAAAGCTAAGCGCTAAAATTAAAGCGAATCGGTAAAAACCGTTATTGAATAAAAACTACATGCCAAAGAAAGAAATAGTAAAAAAATCAAAGGTTTGTAATCAGACTCTACGTTCTCTTCTATTTATTTCTTTGGCCATAGTTCCAAGGATCAAAGAACTATACCATTAATCCTGGCTTTTATTTAACGCACAGCGCCACCGGACGGTGACCCGCGCAACCACATTCCTCGTTTACGGTGGGCACGTTCTCATTACGCCGACCGAATCGCAAGCCGTGAGCGCCCGCCGACAGATGGCGCGCGGCGCAAATATTCCGTCCGGTTCTCGATGTTCGAATCGGGGCCAGGGTTCCGGACAGGAACCGGCCAATCTACGCCGCGTCTGTGATCAATTATCGTCCGACTTCGTTTAAATCGCAATTGGACTTGAACGTCGTCTTCCTGTCGCGACTGGAAAAACTCGAAGGGCGAAGAGGGACCGGCAGCGGCATTTCATTATCGATGCGATTAAAAGGGGGAGGCCGCTCGCCCTCGTACCGCGTACGAGTGTTTCTTACGGGTGGCGGCGTTTTATTAGATTCTGTCCGGGCTACGGAATTTAATTTGGCCCGGCTCTGATTCATCCGATGTTGTTCGATCGCGTCGCGCCCGTCGCTGACGTTGATTTACGACCCGGTTAATTGTTATGCAAAGTGCGCGGCCGCGCGGAGGCGCCGGCCAGTCGCCGACGGCGAACAATAGAATCTTCAAGTCGCCGCACGTCTAGGGCTGACTACCTGCCGATCGCTGGCGCGCGAGGCGATACATTCTAACGTCGCAAAACTGTATAAGCAAAGGACGCGGCGGTTGCCTGTCGGACACAGACCACGGAACGCGCGGGCCTTAGAACAACAATGGTTAATTAAACCAAGGTTAATCAAGCTGGCCGGGCCTTAAATCGCGTAAATGTCGTGTCCTTTCTGTCACATGGCCACTGATATAGCCCCGACAATGCATTTCAATGTAATTTAAGACCTGTCAAATCGCCCAATAAGAAGGTACACGGCCTAAGGAAAAAATAAATTTCTAAAGTACACCGTCTCTGTATAAATTTTAAACATTAAAATCATATAAGGCGATTAAATGTTGTTTTGACTTAATTTTTAGTCGAATGTTTGTCGACTGGATTCGGCTCTGTTTAGACATTATCGGGGAACTAATAAAAATTGTATTTCCACCCAGTTTGACATTTGAGTATACCGTCAATTTTTATTCTGTTAACTGTGCGATACTGTAAGAAGAAGTTATTTTGAATATTTTTGAGTTTATCGACTTTGACGATGGGAATGTTTGCGGAACAATCTTGGACATTCTGTGTAAAAGTAGACAACACCAATAACAACGTGAACTTTTTTTACCTTTAGAAGAAACGGCCACATTGACGAAAATTCCAACATCAACTGTATGGAAAATTGTGAATAATCCCATTTCAGCGAGGAAAAAAAGCGATGCTGACATTTTCTCGAGTGCAGATGAAAGTGATCGATCAAGATATAATACGGCATAAAATTTACCAGTTATACGAGGAACAAAGCGTGTCTACATTAGATATCTTAATTAGGAGGCTTGAAAAAGATGAAACCGATGTTACATGTGGCAGAAATACCTTATGGAAGTATATTCAACACATGGGTTTACAAAAGGCAAGTTTTTTACTTGGATGAAACCTGGTTCGACACTTATGATACCCCGGAAAACGGTTGGGTTGACTCAACTGGTAAGTGTAAAACAAACGCGAAATCAAAAAGAGGTAAAAGAATAACTATTTTGCATGCTGGCTCTAAAGTTGGATTCCAAATGGACTTTCTCTGTCTGCGAAAAATATTAAAGATTCTTCTCTGAATTACCATGAAGACACCACCGCTGATTTATTTGAAAGTTGGTTTCGAAACAAACTAGTTCCAAATATTCCTCCTAATAGCGTATTTATAATGGATAATGCAAGTTATCACAGTAGACAGTTGTAGTTCATAAAACCATTTTGATGTTATACTGTTTTTTTAATGATTGTATGATCTATTGTACGGGACTGTTTCAAAAACGTTAGAAAAATTTGCAAAGTAATGTAATGGAACGAATGTTACGTCACCTTTTTTGTAAACGGGTCTAACTCTGCATACCTTCCAGATATCAGGCACAGTGCATTTAAGGCACGTATTCAGTAGAACTGTAAGTGGTAGAGCAAGGACATTCGGACAGTCCTTTAAAACAAAAGAAAGAATACAGTCGAAACTCTATATAGCGAAGTTGAATGAGTTATAAAGAGTTTTAGGCACTTGAAAAATAACAATACGGTTATGTGTTCTGTAATATTCAATTATTTTATATACAATTTTAACATGTACTTAGGAACATTTTATATAAATATTTCTTCTTTTTCTTCTTCCTCTTTTAGAAGGCGTATCGCCTGTTTAGTTCCGGTTTCCTCCTCGTCTAAGCAACTCTTGCGAGGTTGACTGCCAACTGTCTCGCCAACGTTTAGGTGGTCGTCCAGTGTAGGTCTTCTGTTGTTGCAAATTATTATGGCCATTCTGTCGGGGCCCATTCTACTGACATGCTGGTTCCATTCTCTTCTTCTCTGCCTTATCCATCTGACAACGTCATTTGTTTGGCACTTTTCTCTTATGTCTACAAATATTTAAAACCTACATTTCATGTTTCAAATAATCGGTCATTTTCTTTTGAATTTTTTTAGTGTGCCAATACGCATCTCGTACTTTGGCTTGTATTTTCACCATTTCTCGAGAGGGTCATCTTCCCCATGATGTATAAAAAATTTCTCTAGCAGCTTAACTGTTGAATGGTTGGTGGTCGTCCCAGGCCGACTTCTTCATCTTCGTCTTCATCTTGGTGCTCTTCCTCACCCTTTTTTGCTTGTTGTAATACGGCTTTCTCTGTCAAGTCTGCTGTTGTAGGCAAATCCTGATCTGTCACCATAAAATCTTGCAACTTCTCACTTGTAAACGTAATTGTTGTTTGAAACTGCTTTATCCACTCCGTCATTGGCCGATCATCTTCCAAGTCCTGTTCGCATTCTGTCTCGGTAATAAGTCCTGCATGACGATAGGAGTGTTGAATTGTTTCTGCTGTTACCGCTTTCCAAGCTTTACTAATAAAGTTGACTGCATCTAGCATATTAATGGAAAATTTGTCTTCGGACTCGATCATTTCCATTAAAATGTTTTTCCCGTATCGACTAACGTTCTCTGTTATACGTTCTTTGGAAAGTTTTCCACCCACACACTTTTCGCTTCGAAATTTAAGAGTTTTGTCTGGCGTCATTTTGTAAAAAATATCAGTTTCGTTAGCATTAAAAATGTCTTCAGCAGTGTACTTTTCTGCTAGTTTTGGCCACGTCTTCTCCAGCGGATCGTTAGTGACGTTTCTGTCGACATCGACACTTATCTGTCCGTAATTTATACCATGTCTCTGTTTGATCTTCCCCAACCATACTTCCGAAGCCTTGAAATCGATAATGCCAAGTTGTTTGGCAAACTTTTCTGCTTTTGTGCTTTTTACAAAACCTCTGGATTCCTCCTGCGTCGGTTTTTGCTTAGTCGAAATTGCTGAAGAAAGCTCTGAAGAAGCTAACAGGGTGATTGGCGAAACGTCAGCAATTTCGACTAAGCAAAAACGCAGGAGGGATCCGGAAGTTTTGTAAAAAGCATTACAGTCGCCCGTGGAAGTTTCTTTAAAAAAATTTCGGCTTTTAGTTTCACGATAGGTCCAGAGGGTGGTCCATTTTTAAGACGTTGCTGTTGGAACCACTGCCTGCCACTTCAGCTTGATTGTTTTTTTTTTGCACTTGCAAATCCTGGATACAGTCGACGGGGTAAGTCCGTATCGACGTCCCTTATCATTTTTTTTTGCATCTAGAGATCAAATTTTTCGCTTATTCGCCATGCACGCCGTATTCACTAAGTGTGCCCTTTTTTCCTTCGGTATAGGGAGTGAGAAATTCGTTATACCGAGTGGATTAATACATAGCTATGGAGACTTAATAGCATAACAATTTTTC